TACATAGGTTTGTTTGAGTTTGAGTTTATTTATTTAAGTGTCATGCACAAAAGTGCCCAGCCCACATGGGCTTATATGACACTGATACATACATAGGACCAGGGCCGGAGTGGGACAACATTTCAGGCCGGGAGCTTTTCATCCATTCAGGCCAAACAAGGTTCTAAATTTGTGTTTTTGTCATTGTATTTTGATGTTCTTTTAATAGTTTTAAGATTGACTGTCAAAACTTTTGTTTTCTTTATTTTTTTTAATATTGACTGTTTATATAATCTCGGACGTTTAAGGATTGTTGTACGTTGCTTAGCAACGTAACGTTTATGGAGTTTAGTGAGAATAAAGACACACACACACACACACACACAATGAACTAAGTGTTCATTAGTGTATAACTATAACAAGCTAATCAATTATTGTTAAAAAAGTAGTAAGGTAAAATCACATCGTTACAGCTCATATAAAAGGACAAATAAAAACGTGTATGAACCATCAGTTGGAGAGACCACTCATTTCAACCGGGGAAGCTACACTGGGTGCACTGCTAGGCTGGCCTGGCTGTGTAGCCGACGTGTGACGTCACATTTGTTTAATTTTGCTCTGGCCCAATGACAGTAAAGCTTTGGCCAGTGTTGTGCCAGTTCACAGCTTTTCTGAACTAGTTCAAGTTCAGTTCATACATGCTCAAAGTGAACAGTTCACGTTCGATGTTCTCAATTTTAATTCTGAACTAGTTCAAATTTCAGTTCATTTTACTTTTTGCGAGATATTCAAATAAATATTTTTTTTCACTACGAGCTAGAAATCACAATACGTGGTATATATATATATATATATAATTATATATTATATCCTGTACACTGCACAGGATGTTTTGACTCCAATGCAGACAAGATTTACATGGGTTTCAATGGGAACTGAGTTGTCCCATCTCTGCTCATAAGTACAAACTGTAATGCGCTGCAGAACGTGTGTCTATACTTTATGTCAAATGTAAACGGCCCTGTGTCACTGACTTACCCCTGTGTTTTCATCACGGCACATGTGAGTCCAACAACCAATGAATAGCACTAGCATATAGCGCCGCACCGCAAGTACACTGAGTCGGGGTGCGTTCACAGACGGTGGAAACCGTAGGAATTTTTAGTTTTCAGTGCGGAGAATACAGGAGGGAGGAACTTTCTCTCGTTGCGTTTCAAAAGAGAAAACAGATTTCACTCAGTTTTAAATGGAAAACAAATTGTCTGCCGTTCATGACACATAATATGAACTAATTCACGTTCAAGTTCTTTATTAAAAAATGTGTTGCGTTCAGTTCAACGTTCACGCAAAAATGAGCGTGTTCAATGAACGCGTTCTTTTGAACTCGTTCACGCACAACACTGTCTTTGGCCTGGGCCTTGCTCATTGGACCAGGCCACCAGGCAGGGTAGGAGTTTGCAAAGACCGTGAGGATGAAATAAAATTAAAAGAAAAAAAAAACAAAAACAAAAACAAAAAGACCGTGATGATAGGGCAGGCCCAGGCCACTTTGACACGCAGGCCACCGGGAGATCTCCCGATGCTCCCGATGGCCAGTCCGGGCCAGCATAGGACACTGATACATACATAGGACTTAAAAAATAAAATAAGATAGGACTTCAAAATAAAAACAACATAAATGCAAACATATATTAATCAAAGAGAATATACGTTTATCTTAAAGAAGCAGTATGTATTTTGTTCTCCTAGTGACCTATTAAGGCACGATTAAAATACTTAGTTGCCAGAGTCTTCCCACCTGTGACACACGTGGCTCTTACAGTAAGCACTGATTACTGATGCAAACTACCTACTAGAGTCCTGAATCTAAAGGAGAAGTTCACTGCTGTTTTGTCCTGAAATAATTGCTATCCTGAGGTTGGAGAGCTCTGACGTAGAGAAATGGGACTGAATGCGAAATAGCACAGGTTTGTATCTATTGTAACACTGTTCACAATTGTCTTCTTTTTGATGATCTCTGTTTTGTTTTCCTCAAATAAATATTCTTGAAATGTTCTTTATCTTTGTTTTAAAGCACACAAGAATATCTGATCTGCTCTCATTTAAACTCAAACCAATAATCATTGATCATGAAGAGCATGAATCTAAGAGCTGTGTGACTTGTTGAAATTATGATTTTGAAATTTGGCCTTTCTCTATGTGTGCTTTCAACCATGCTCTCTGCAAAATCCTGGTTTCTCCAATTTGGACAAAAAGCCCCCAATAAAAGCCGCACACATCACTGCCAATGGAACAGAAACTAACCCAGAATATGTTCCCTCTGAGGATTTCACAAACACGCATCAGCCATTGACAATATTCTTTTGTTTGTCCACAGCTTCTTCTCAGCATTTCTAGCGTCATCTCTTAAATAAATCCTATATTTCCTTTGCATGGTTTCTGTCAAGTCACCAAGGCCAATTTTCATATTCAATTCAACGGGCTCATATTGTTATTTAGCGTCTAGTCTGATATTCTCACTGTGAAAGCACATTGTACCTTTGGCATTTGGGTCTATTATATTAAGGACATTCTGTCTGCAGTGAGATGAGGCTTGTTACACTGTCTGGAGCTGCAAAGTTTCACTCTTTGAACTGGAGTGATTAGCAAATAGCATAGAACATTAATAACTATGACTATCTTTACTTATCTTCTTATTAAAAATGTCTATATTGTGCACAGGATTTAGAATGTTTTATACAGTTTAGAGTAAAACCTCATTTAAAATGAAGGTAAAACATAACGTTTCTAAACTGACTAACACTAAAGTGAAAGAATGTTTTAAAATAACACATCAACACATTTCTGCCACCCGCACGTGAAAGTCTAATCTTGTCAGATCTTTGAAGCTAAGCAGGACAGGACTTAGTTAGTTTTGTGATGGGAGACCTTTGAGAACACCAGGTGCCACAGTGGGGTGGCTGCAGCTGTAAAATGGTGAACTGTCTTTTGGTCCTCAGGCAAGTCACTATACTCAATTGCCAAGTATGAAAGTGGTATGTGCGTGAATGATTGGTGGTGGTTGTAGGGTCCAAAGGCACATACCTCACTTCTGTCAGTCTGCCCCAGGGCAGCTGTGACTACAGTAGTAGTTTATTGCTAAAATAATAATGCCATGGGAAATGCCTTTGAGTGTCCAAAAAGTTCTATATAAAACCCAGTGCATTATGAATTAATACATAATGTTTCTATTGGCAAAAATAGTCACAACTTTTCAGTTGTCAATTTAATTATTAGACAAAACATATTTGACCAAACTCTCTTTTGATAAAAAGCAAAATAGTGCTTTTGATGATAACACAAAATTTTATACCAGTTCTGAATAGGATACATAACCACAAAATCTTTGGAAATGTTTGCTGTTTTTTGTGATTTTTTTATTACGTGCTGATATTTGTTCAAACAAACACGGTGTTAGAATTGTTTCATTTATGATTTTCAAAACCTTTTAGTATGTGATCTTATCTGGTGCAGGGGCTGTTCTAAAGCACATAGTACTTTTACCATGCTAATATATGAAGAGCATTTGGTCTGCTTTGCGGCGTCAGGCTGATGCTGCTTGTTATGTGCAGCACCAGCCTTCTCCCTCAGACCAGTTCTATTCCAAATGTCACCCTCCATAGTCAATTATCCATCTTAAACATTGAAGTGTGCCAATTTAGCATCTAGTTTCTCAACTCATTCTTTCTCCAAACTTGTCGGAAAAGTTGGATTCTGGGTTTGGTTTAAAAGCAGAGCCTTTTCTCACTTGCTCCCCTCAGAAGTGTTATTTGGTGCCAGGCAGGATCTCGTTGTGAGGTGCTGAAGTGTGAAGATTTGATGAAATTGCTTAAAAAAATGATAGATGGATAAGAAACATTTTGATATTTCTTTGGGGCGGCACGGTGAAACTTACTTTGTGTTATTTAAAATTGCCATCTATGACAGAAGTGGGCATTTATTTTTTCCGGGGGCCACTCTGGGATATTGCCAGGCAATTACCATTTATTTATGATTTATATATTGACAATATTATGTTTAATCTTTTGGTTTTTGGCTATTTTTTAATTACATTATTCTCTTTCTTTTTCTTTTTATATTTTTTGGTATACTTTCCAAATCCTTGCTCTGTCTCTTTCTAGCTGCACAAAGACATTATTTCCTTTTGCACTTCTTTATTTATGTTGAACAGAGGGTGAAGGGAATATAGACCGATTATTAGCAGTGGACTGACCGAGTGCTGATTTCCTTTGATAGGCATTTCTTCCTCTGTGTTATCTTTGCTCCGTAGCAGGGGCAGTTGTGATTGGTCAATTCTTTTAGCACATATCTGGATTTACTAAGACAAAATCAAAATACCAGGATCATAGGTCAACTAAGTACAAAATCGTTTGTTGTTTTGAATCTTGTCCTCTACAGGGATATTTCTTGGTGAATTTAAGTCTGGGCCTGGCTTAAGCTACCAACACCCTGTCCAATATAATATCTCTATGGGATGATGTCCGCGCAGAGAGAGGTGTATAATGGTCACATCTTTTATTTTGTATTTTTTTCTGTGCAAAAAAATCCTTTTGACTGGCCTTGAAATTATTGAATCAAAAATATAAAGCCCTCAATTAACCTTGAAATAAAGTTCTGTCCTATTCAACATTGACCTTTAGTGAGTATTAATGTTTCAGAATATTGAGAAGGAAATATTCAGCAAATGTTTAACCTATGAAACCTGTACTTCTTGTTTTGTACCTCACTGTGTTGTTAGGTGTTTGTAAATTGTTTTTTATTAATATTATTCATGTAGTGCTAATTTGCCAGGGCATATTCCAGGTTTGCGAATCTAGCCCACTAATAACAGCAATAAAAGTTCCTGAGATTATAATATTTTAACCATAAACTTTTAGATTCTAGTTATGAGGCTGTTTGGTACCCTAGATTCGATTGGCCCAGTTTCTGTACGAATCCCAGTTTCTCTCAGTTGCAAAAACACTTGTCTCCTGTGTGTTCAGTGAAGTACATGCGTGAGGCCACACCGTATGTGAAGAAGGGTTCTCCGGTGTCAGAAATCGGCTGGGAGACCCCCCCTCCGGAGTCGCCCCGCCTGAGTCCCAGCAGCCTGTCCTCCCCCTCAGAGCCCCCCAGTCCCCCTCTGCTGTCCCCCCACGGAGACCGCCGCTGCATCCCCCTTCGAATGTGCTACGTCACCAGAGCCATGACCACGCCGGACCCCGACAACAGGTCAGATTTAACCCCGGAACACATGTTTATGATCTAATGTGCATCTATAGACTGTAGAAGGAGTGGAATAACCTACTGCTGACGTCACCTTTAGTGTGATGTGCTGGAGAGAAGGATGAGGGCTCTCGTGCAGGGCATCCTGAGTAACTCCCGACACCCTCTGCATTACACTATGGCTGCTCAGCAACCGTAGCAACAGGCTCTTATCACTGCGCTGCACAACGGAAAGTTTTAAGAGATCCATTGTTCCGAAATGCACATACACAGCATTAAACCACAGATGTTCAGCCCAGTTTAATTCAATGGGAGCTTTTGATTTTTGAAGCGATCTTTGCCCATGAGCACTTCCCTATCATGCTTCATTGAGTTAGGGACTTAGCATTTTCCATCTATACAGTATATATGCTCATCTTGTGTACATAAGGAAATACAAAACAAAGGCATGCAGTGATGAGTTAAGCTTTTATACACAGAGCTCTACCCGGAGCATCTGTGGCTCTGGACAAACAGGCGAGAGGAAAAGAGGGAGTGACACTGTGTACAGACCGTGGACAAGAATGTTTGTAAAGGTTACAAAGAACTGCCACTGTGTCCTTAGGCAAGACACTTCACCCACATTGCCTAGAATGAGTCTGGCGTGTGCGGGAACGGTTGTTGGTCGGAGGGGCGGATGGCACATACTGGTTGCCTCGCTTCTGTCAGTGTGCCCCAGGGCAGCTGTTGGTAGAGTAGTAATTCATCACCACGTGTATGGAGTAAATGAGTAATGCCAGTGTCCAAAATAGCACAATATAGAAACTATAAGGGAGTTATAAGGAAAGCCCAGTTGAAATGAAATAAATGTTAAGGACATTATAAAAAAGTTACATTTACGCGGCTGAAGGAATTACTTTGTCTCACTCAGGGAAAAAGGAGAATATTTGTGAATACAGAGCGTGTCTATTTCAGGTAAGTTAATGTGATTGAATGTATGCGTTCAATCATCTCTTTGTATGAATATTATTTCTGAACACATGAAGAAGATGACCAAGTCTGGGATTGTGTCTTTAATTCAGACAGAAGACATGTTTTATTGTCGATGGTAGAGACAGCACGGACAAAGATGTTACAGAATGCTATAGAATAATATACAGCATGGAGGAACGGCGTCCAATCAGCATTCGCCACAGGGCCAGTAGCTTCAACCTTGAGTAAACAAAACATGCAATGGAAGAGTACTGCCTTGTGCATATGTTAGAACGATGAATTAGAACTTTAACCACAGTTGCTTCGAAGTGTCACGAAATTTCTAAACACAGTACAGAGTTTTAATATTAGAACAACTGTGCTCAAACATGTGGACCCAGTACATTAGAAGTTTGTATTTGAGCCACACGTCATCAGGCTGGAGCTGTGGGGACTGCAGGGCCTCACCCACAGACCTTTCTACAGATCTTGACCTTGGCTCACGGTCCGTTTCTATCTGGAGGATTAGTCTATTATACTTGTTTGAGATTCATGAGAGCAAACTGAAATAACTCAGACAAAAGGAGAACATAATCCTCCACACCACCTTGGAATAAGCATTTAACCAAGATAAATGTTGTATAAGTGTGGGTACAAAAAATAAAGTTTATAAAGTAAGGCAGATATTTTACTTTAAATGTAATTCCTCCAATCCTGCAGTTGAACAAAATGTGTTGCTTTCTCAATCCCAGTGGAGATGACAGAAAGAGGAATTGTGGGCACCGCTGTCTTGTGTTTCTGGAAGGGGATTACATCTCTCTGTGTCTCCGTGCACTTTTGACTTCATTACGAATGTTGCTGAAAGACTGACTTTTGAAGTAGACCATTTTCTCTCAGCAGGGGTGCACTGTTATGAGGTGTCTTCCAGTTAATTACAGTTTGTATAATGTGAAAATGCCCCGAACCCAATATTGCGGATAGAGGATCATGTTGAACACAGAAAGCTGCACATCATCACACTGGAGCGAGACATGACCCTATTATGTCCTCAACCATGTTTTGTGGCCACTTTTCTGTGTTTTCAGCCTATTTTTGTGTTTCAGAAAAGAGGTGGTACAATATAATGGGATATACAGGTATTTAGTAATTGGCTTGGGCTATGGTCAAGCCTGTCGGTCTATTAATGAAGACAAAGAATTTGGAAAATATTATCACCTTCACTCACCATAACTGCACTTTTTTGCCAGGAAATGTAATGTTTGAGTTTTTAGTAATTTAATAGATTTTACGGATATAGCAGCCATAGGGATAGGATTCAGTTAATTGCACATGCAGTATGGCTATCTGATTACCTTTGTATTTCTTGGTATTCACGGCTTTCATCCCAATAGTTTTCCCCTTTTCATTTATACTATATTGAGCCAAATACCACAATCCCCAACTGTACTTCAAAGCTTCAAAAAGAGTGAAATTTGTGAACAAACATTTATTTGGAGACTTTGTGAAGCTGCCCACAATCTGTCCACCAAACAATGTTGCATACGTTTTAACCATTTGCCCATTAATCAAATGCTACTGACGGCTGAAAAGATATAGTGATTTGGCCTGAGACTGGCATGAATACGTTTTATGGAAGGATGCACTCAAGTGTAACCCATCAAAGTAACGTGTGAAGGTATAGGAAGGTCAAATGCAGAGGACAAATCTTCTCTCAGTGACAAAAAAGGACAGAGGAAAATCATGTTGTTGGACGACAGTTTGTCCTTTAGTCGTAGAAAGTTGTTTCACCTCTGATAAAACTCTCTGGCCCGTTACAGACAGCTTCCCTTCTATATTTTTGATAAATATTTACATAAGCAAACACTGGCTGAAATGAAAAGTTTCTTTATCTTTTATCGTTCCCTAACAGCAGCTCTCCCCTGTGTATTTCTCCTTGTTTTCCCGCAGAAGTAGTTTAAACCGGGTTGAGAGCAGCGACAAACAGGAGAGACAGATAGAGCAAAGTGTGGCTACAGTGGTGTGAACAGATAAACGATAAGATAAGAGCTGCTGTTTTTTTCTTTGGATGAAATTGTGCTGGGTTTCAAGCAATTATTCTAAAAAAAAAAATAGAAAGGTTTGTGTTCAAGCCCGCTGGTGTGTTATATGTAGAGCTAGCAATTTATTGAATAACAGAACACATTTTCTTTGTAATAATAAGTCATGTTCTTTGAGGTGTGGAGAGATTCGGTTCTTTGTAGCTGCCCATGAGGTCTCCATGAAGTCTGCATGTATTTTGTCAACATGTGTTTGGAAGAAGAAAATCTGATAATGAATGTTGTTGTATTATGCAAATTAATTTATCCATCAATGAAATTATAAATGTATGCTGTACACTTTTGATCTATTTCCATGGCATTAAGATGGTTGAATCTAGGGCTTCTGCTAAAGAATATTCTTGTGAACTGTTCTATTATTGTTTAACCTTTAACCAATGAATCCAGTAATCAAACAACTATTACTTGTGTAGTTCAATATAGTACAATATAATACATATTATAGTACACATACTTATACCATTTCACCCAAGCAGTCACCTTAGTAACACTCAGCAATGAGCAGTTAACTTCTGGTTTGGATATCAGTAAACAAGCTACTTTTAAAGGTCTGTTACACATTAGCATGATTCATATAAACTGCTGTTTTATTGTTTTTTTGCTGGCTCCTGGCTAAAAGTAATCAATTTCCCGAGACATGTTTGTAGTTTAGAGGAAAATGTGTACAGTATATCTTTGCTAATTAGTGATGAGTGTAGGAGTGTTTTGACGATAACTAAAGCAGATGAAACAATAAACATTTACATAGAGAACAATCTAAAAGTAGTAAAAACAATGGCATTATTGTTTCACAAAAACAAAAAGAAACGGCCTCTCAAAAATGTAATGAAAAGACTTATGAAGTAGTTGATTGATTGGATTTAATTTAGCTCTCACATCAAGCAGTTCACCAATTAATCGAGGGAACAGATTAGACAAACAGTCTCAGTCCTTGTTAGATGTGTTGTGTCAGAGAAAGGCGACTCCAGGACTCTCTCTTCCGCTGTGAGGGATGAACTGTGGAGAGTAACAGTGTGCATTGTTAGCACCAGAGTCAGACTGGCTGCAAATAGAGCAGGTGACTGTGGCAGAAACAGCAGGACTTCTCACACTAGGACGTCTTCAGCCTGCTCCCTTCAGCAGGCTCTTTTTAACCTTGAGTCTAAAAGAAGTTCCACTTGCCCAGGCCTGAACTGTGGCAAGTGTGTAATGTATGTGCACTGCCTTAGCAAAATTTTTACAATTTAGGTTTAACACAATTGGGTTAATGTTTTTTGCTAATATTTTCATTTGGTAATATTGCATTGTTCATAAGCCTGTGAACAATGTCTATTAGGGAGTTTTTCTCGTAGACTGTAAATGCTTTTTTCCAATGGACTGAAATTGAAAAGTGAACTACTCAGTGTTTGTGTCACACTCACCATTTTGCGCTTAAAATAATGTGTGGTTTAGCGCTCCCTGTGATCCTGGTGTTTATACATCTTGGTCTTTGTAAATCCAGATGTATGAGCACTGAGAATCTGAGGATCGACCAATCAGGTGCCTTCATTTGTGGGGAAATTCCAGCTTGATTAAATAAAGAACTTATTGTTCTGTTATGTTTTGCTATTTTATTTATAAAACATTGAAGTTTTAGATGTATCTATTATTTCTTGTTTTCCTTTACTGGGATTATCCTGCTTTGTTGTATTCGCATCACTAGCATTCCATGAAGTATTTTTATTTTATATTTTGGTTCAAGACTTTAGATTGTTGTTAGGTAAAATGCGAAGACGGAATAGACATTGCATGATTCTGATTTTGCTTTATATATATATTTCCCACATTCACTTTTCACATACTTTTTAAACAACTATGTGCTACATGTTCTTTCTTTCTTTTCCCTTTGAATCATAAATTAATACATCTCACAAAGTTTGGTATTCACCTATAAAGTTAGCAAAATGTAAGGCTTGCGGCCAATTCTCTCCCAGACTCATCCGACAGCTCGAATCCTCGTCATCATTATCATCAGTATTCTGTGACAGCTCTCACATCTGCACACAAGCAGAAAGTACCAGTCCACTGGGAGCAACCCCCTTTATCAATCAGGCCTTTAAATGTAGAAGAGACACACTTATATAACAAAGTATCCTGCTGGAGATTTTAAATTCACATAAGCAATAGTGAGTAGCCTGTTATATATGCGAATTTGTGGGTAGCAACGACCAAGCAACCAAGAGCCAATAAGGAGTCAAAGTGAATTGGAGCCAAAATTAAGCACTTTTCATGGAGCTAGATAGCATGGTCCATCTTTTTTCAGTCTATGTACAGATATGACAGCACCCACTCATGCACGGTGTGGTCCGGCTGTCAGGGATTTTAACATGTGGAAATGTCAAACGCCTTCCTACTGCATTGTGAAATCTCTTTTGCAATTGTGGCTATGGCTATTTCCCAATGCATTAGATTGATCAGTGAAGGTGAAGCGAAAGTAAAATTATACAATTAATCTGGCTTTACAAAGACCAAGATGTACATACACCAGGATCACAGGGTGAGACCAAAAGGGTGAGTGTGACAAAAATAGTTACTGAGTAGTTTACCTTTCAATATCAGGCCATTGGAGCCAGAGTGAGTTGAAGAAAAGCACCTTTCAAAATAAATCAGACAACAAAGGATTTAACCCTTCATATTATTACTACTTTAAAATTTAATCATCAATTGAGGCCTTCATGTGTGTCGGTTTCTGTGTAAAATCATGTCAAACCAGAACGCAAATTGGACTTTTCTGTGGTTAAATAACATTAATGTATATGGTATTCTTTTTGTCATCGCACACATTGCTATAACTTTAATCCCATCTCATCATACAGTCGTCTCATTCAGTTTCCTATTCACATCACTGTCGACACCTGCCCAGATTAACCTCAGCTCATCCCCAGAAGCTGCTCCTTCATAATCTCCATCATCCAGGCTCAGCTCTGTATACGCAGTTTAAACTGAAAGATAAGTTTATTGACTTCACCCCATGTCGAAACCTCTGGGATATAGATTTCATATCTCTTCATACGCCTCCCTTCTCGGACTTGTATATGTTTGAAGCACTATACACATTATCATTAACAACACATCCACTGAAGGGTGTTTATTGAAGGTCTCCTCTCACACAACTCCTCTGTCTTGAAACTAATCTGCGGTCAAACCTGCGGTCAAGAAGAACATTATCCCTTATTCGTCCCATTCATCAAAATTTCAGTTTCAATGAATACACATTGAAACTGAAAGTACACATTGTATGCATGCGGCGTACAATTACTTCCGCTGGCAAACTGGAGTAGAGTGTCTTGCCCAAGGACACAACGACAGCAGACATCAGTGGGAGTCGGCGGAGAAGGTCTTGCGGTGGGGCTCTACCAACTGAGCCACTGCCGACTAACAAGACAAACACACTCATGCACAACTCCACATGTGCACAAGCTGAAAAAGTAGTGACATAATGTACAAACAGAAGATTGTTAGGTCAAAAACATTGTTATAGTTGTAATGGAGCACAATTCAGATGTTAGACGCTTCCCTCTATCTCAAAACATTGCTTTACAATACAATACAATACACTGTATTCTTGTTTAGCCCTAAATCACAACTGTAGTCATCTCAGAGGACTTAACAAAACCATTGTAATCACCAACTCAGATCAGATAATCAACAGTTAAGACACAAAAAAGAATACAGAACACATGTTGATAAATGTCCATACATGTTGCAGAATGTTAAAGTGTCCTGGATCATCACCACAGTCCTTGTAGACACTAACTGTCCAACAGACCCTCCTGCATCAGAGGGAAAACTCACAAGAACCCAGTTGAAAAAAAGTGAGAAACTTCGGGGAGAACCACATATTGGCCCTCATTTATGAAACTTGCGTCCGGACAAATCAGGGTGTAAATCAGGCGTACGCAAAAAAAAAAAAAAGGAATCTACACTAAAAATATACACCCTTTTCAGCGCAAGTTGAGGAAAAGGGTGAGGGCCATTGAGAGAGGAATCCGCTCCACACGGACGGACATGCTATAGATCCAGGACCTAAGCTACAAGCTACATTGCTCTATCATTTGTAATCTCAGATCAAATATGGCTCAGAAATGTTATATGATTTTTATACCTGGGTGTGTAAACTTTCAAGCATAACTGTAATTCTTAATATTTTGACACGTTGTTGTAGAAGCAGAGGGTTATTGCCAAGATCCTAATCCTCTAATCAAACAACAGCCCATTAAAGTGCCGTCACTTCCTCTCCTCCTCTGTCTCAGCGCTGGTCTCTGTCCCTAATCTGCTTACGTTTTACATTTTACTCAAACTATTTTTAGAGTTTAGTTTGTATCGGTGTTTTATAGTGGACCTGTGGAGGACGTGAACTTTCCCCATGAAAAACAACCACTGCTCACATGTTACACTGATCTGCTAATGTTTTATAAATTCTGAGATGGAACCCTTTAGCAGCATCATGCTTACTCACTATTAAATGAAGTTTTTTACTGCAGCTTTTCCACATAATAACTTGATCTCGCCCCAGCAACCAACACGTGATAAGTGCCCTTCAGGAGAACATCATTTTGGCAGTATGTATGTCATTTCTGTTCAAGGGGCAAAACTCTGGAATGAAGTCCTCAGCTCGAACTGAACTTTGACTGGGCTGGTTTTAAACATGAACAATTTTATAAAAGATGCCAGTTGAGTGATCGTGAATGACTTTAACCCTTTGATGCCCACTCCTTGAAGAAGGCAATGTCACTTTTTATTTTTTAGATTTAATAAGATGTAGGATCGCTAATAAAACAAATAATTTTATGTTTATGTTTTTTTTTGACCCATAGTTTTAGCAGTTTTATGGTAAAAGTGACTAAAATCAAGTGAACAGGTATATTTCCGTTCCAAGCATGCTTCCAGTAGATATAGTGACTCAAAAAGTGATCCTCTACATCACTTTATGAGTCACTTGAAGAAACCATAAAAGGTTTAAGGACATTTTGTCTTTGTAAAATGTGAGTGTAAATGAAAATGTAATGTGATTTAATTTGTGTAAAAGCCCATCGAGACGGACATCACACATTAGCCTTGACTATAAATGTTATAGTCATATGTGGATCGTGTACGCTGGTCCCAATCAAAAAAATACATTTAAAACACCATCGAAAGAGGCCGTCATTTTCCAGAGCACATTAAGTGTGCTTTTAAAAATCACTATAAAGACATTTCTTTTAAAACTTCAGTACACAAGGCTGCTTAATTAATATTCTTGGAACTAAATCAGCGTTTTCTTTTGACACAGCTTCTTTGTACATCTTAAAGAGCTTCTTCTTGTTCATCAAATACTTAAAATATGGCATTTACTTATGCAGATGTGTCAACTACAGTGGTGGACTTGAGCACCACTTGATCATTCACTGTTAAAGGTTGCATTAAATATCTTTTCAAAATTCATATACAGGGCACACAATCCAAAGGCATTCTTGTGTGGCCTGCAAGATTAGTTATGGAAATATGGTGCGGGCTGCATTGTGCCACCCGGCCCACAGGGACTGTTCCGTGCCTGTAGAGTCTTGAAATGACTTGAATAAAGTTAAAATTCAGTGCAACTCATTTATTTGTTATGACTGAGTGCCCAAGTTGATGGCATAAACAGGCAGCTTTTGAAAAACATTTTGTGCCTCAACATGAGTTTTATGAGAACAGCAGCGTCTCATTCCGAAATTCATAAAGTTATTCCACAAAGGTTACTTAGAGTAAAGGTCAGAGAACAGTGTGTGAAATGGGAGGTTAATGCAGGTTAAACTTGTCTTATCTGTTTGTGCAGACAGCTGGAGCTACACTCCCCTGACACCAGGCACACTGTGGTGCTGCGCTGCCCGGACCAACCATCTGCCCTGAGCTGGTTCACCGCCATGCACTCTGTCACCACCGCCATGGCACAGGTGCGTCTATACACTCACTCATTATTGATACTGTATGTGTGGTTACTTTACTGCACACTCACGCTAACATTACTTTCTCTTCACTAAAGGACCAGCAGTGTAAACACAAAAATCAATCACAACTCATGCTTTGCCTTGAATGAGATTAAATGAATTGTCGGTGTTGCAACCGTACATTGTAGAAGGAGTGGACTAACCAAGTTCAAGTTCAATGTTTTTTCCATTTGCGGTTTAAAACCACATTGTAACACTTCTGCAAATGTACCCTGTGAGCTCTTGAGACAGCAAAATAAAACGCTATACAGATACTTTATACAAACACAAACTGAAGTACATATGGAACAACAACCATATTGCACCTTATTGTCTAAGAATCCGATTAGAGCTAACTCAAACAGGTCTCCATGGGAGGGAATCTGCAACCTAATTCATGGGTCTAAGGTCTAAAGAAACAATCAGGAACGGCACAAGACGGTTTCCACTCAGTTTGGTCAGTTGTTAGGGCTCATATGGACAATATCAAGATAAAAAGGTAATAAATCAATTTGGCATTATGGGTTATAAAAACTATATTTAAACAGTTACAGGGTGACTTGGGCGCTTCTCTTCATGGATCTGATATGCAACTTGGTGATGCCAGCTCCTTGACATCTAATGACAGCATCTAATCACATTCAGTGGATAAGGAGATGGCAGAACATCCACATAAAAAGTTACAACATCTAACTTCAATGCATGGGTTTTATATAGTTTTTTTTTAGTCACTCACATGTGCTTCACATGGCATTATTCATGCTTTCAGTATGTGTCATCGGCCCCTCCGACCACCACCAGCCATTCATGTACACACCAGACTCATTCTAGGCAAAATGGGCCTAGTGTCTTGCTTAATAACACAATGTTTGTTCCCAGAGGTCTCCCATCACAGTACTAACCAGTATTTACCAGGCTTTGCCTTGCTAAGCCTCAGAGGTCTGACTGGATCTGGCACCTGCATCATATTATTGTAGCAGCCTTTACTGCCTGTTTGAGAGATATTATATATATTATTAAAATGACCATTGTATGAATATGTTTTGAATATTTGTGTTTATTCAAAGCCAAGTGCAACAAGTATCTCCATATTTTATTAAACCACATTCTCATGAACTGATACATTCCTATGATCATAAGAACCTTGACATACAGTACATACAGTAGCTATGTGGTCACATGATGTTTGCATGTGCTTTCTGCTTCATTGACTTTCACTTCAATGTGTGAAAGTCAATGTGTTCTGCAAGGCCTGAGGTGAACTAACTATTAAAATGTTTTCAATAATTTACAGAATGAAGAATGATTTTCATGTCCTTGCTTTTTTGCAATACTGTCTTTACTGTGGTAAGAGTTGAAGTGTAAAGAGATTCTCATTTTAATCTCTATCCTGCTTTCAGGCATTGAGGCCTTTTGACCTCCTTTGTACCATGTGTTTATTTCATATCTGTGAGAGCATAGCTTCTTTTGGAAATGAGATTACAAATGTAATGCTGTAAGTTTGAAAAATCTCTCTTCAATAACATCGTTCATTGTGATGTTTTGTGAAAGAATGTATGATCCTGATGCAGTCTCTCTGCACAGCGGGCGTTGGCAGAGCTCCTCCAGCAGCACGGCTGGAGCGGCATCGCTGGCAGCAAGGAGATCCGACACCTGGGCTGGCTGGCGGGAAAGGTGGGAGTCTTGTGTTAGCGTCTGGATGTGGCTGTGGAATAAAAGTATACAATGACTTGTTTCAGAAAGTGACGGGCGCCCACGTTGCATTTGTCACATTTTTATTGGTCTGTCTTGCGCTGCCAGGTTTTGATAGCGGCACCTGTTCGTTTTAATTTGCAGCCATTAAAAGTGAATGTTTAATCGGTCCCATTCCTACAATTAATGGAAATGGTTGGTTTGCTTCCGTACAGCGTGTACAGTCTGTTTGTGTGCATAATTTCATTTATTATCATTTCAAGACCAAGTGTTTGTACGGACGCACATCTTCCTCACGCAAACATGCGATTAGCACTATTGAGTCGGACAACAATTGATCCTTCCCACACACTGTACATTACTGTTACTTAGCAACATTTTGTTATTATGTTAAAAAAGTTGATCTGTGACCTGTTAAGTCTCTCAGTGTGATTGGCTGAGCAGGACTTCAAAGGAGAGCTCAGGATTCCTTTGCTGCAGCAGATAAGCTCTTATAATGAGAGTCAAACTTGGTGGCTGTGTACGGGAGGTCTAAAGATTAACATAGAGTTCTTAATATGAGGTAAAGCTCCATTTGTTAGAGGCACCAATCAGTGGGAGAAAAAGAGGAAAGTTACTTGTGGTTTTAGTGTTTGGGGCAATTTAACGTTTGTGTTGCCTTTATTCGGAGTGTGTTTGTTTAAAGCGATTTCATTCTTTCCAGAATCCCTCAGAGAGCCGGCTCGCGTTCTTGCATCATTTATTTTCTTTATAGAGAAAAACTGCTCCCCTTTGTACGTATAAAGAACAACAACTTTTAACAAGATTCCCCTGTCTTTCATGTTCCATTAGTCCAATGCCTCTAATTAGTGCAGAAGAAGCGATACTGATATTTTGTCTTATCAACTATGATTTTGAAAAATTATATTTGATTTCTTCAATAAAAACAGTCTCAAATTGGCAAGTGCACTTTGAAGAAAATCATTCCTTCCATGGTTCGAATTGAGAAACTTCAATTTCATTGAATTTTGAACGTACTTTTTACTGTAAGGAGCAGTTGACGGTACAACATTACCAAATGCAAAAACGTTGAGAATCTACAGGAGGGAGACATAATGCGACCGTGACTCCAAACACAAGACTACTGTACTTTCTACTTTTACTCAAGTATGAGGCGGGCATTACTTTTACTTTTTTAGATTAAATAACTATCAGGACTAGTACTTTTGCTACTTCTGAGGAAAACCAAAACATTTCCAAACAGCCAAGTGGTATCATCTCATCAAATCAAATCAATTAATTTTGTAGAGCACAAAATCGCAATGGTCAAGGAATTATCAACACAAGTTTTGTTTTGAGTAGATTTTAAACTCCAGCCATTAAAAAAGTCATTGGTTCAAAGAAGACAGAATATCCAATGTTCACATGAATGTCCTGGAGCCTTCCCATGTCCTTAGTCCGTCCATGTTCAATAGAAAAGCGAGAGGAAATGACAGTCAGGCTGTAAATGAGTCCAGGACTACCGCACGCACATTTAAGTTCAAACCCGTTCTGCAGAGTCGATCTATTCAAATCAAACTATATAATATGTGTCAACTTCGATACGTGTAAGTCAGTGCATGAGTTTCACCCTGTGTGTTGAGACTATAGCTCCAGAGTGATTCAGGTGAGCTCAGATCCTCATTATTATATTTGTGCTGCAGACGGAGAGCGAGAAGCAAAGCTGGAAGCCGGTGCTGGTGGTCCTCACTGAAAAAGACCTGCTGTTATTTGACAGTCTCCCACGGGGCCGAGACGCTTGGCAGAGCCCCACGCACACATACCCACTGCTGGCCACGCGGTATTTACACACACACACACACACACACACACACACACACACACACACACACACACACACACACACACACACACACACACACACACACACACACACACACACACACACACACACACACACACACTCATGAACGCGCACACACACACACATACACACACACACAGAATACAATATCTACTACTATGTATTCAGTCCATTGTTTCCATATCTGTGCGGATTTTCAAACCACTTGATGTGTGAGAGACAGTATTGGCAAAAAAGGAACATATACACACAATGATAAGATGATAATGATCAGTTTTTTTTCTTTCTAACTGAATCGGACAATGTGCTTATTTTTCTTTCTTCTATTTAATTAGCTATTTTAATATTATACATGTATATATTGTCAGGATCCAGACTTTACATGTTAAACCATCAGAAAAACATTACTTTTGGGACGGATGATTATAGATTATTGATTTATTTAGGGGAACGAGGACAGGCTGGAGGGACTATGTCTTTCAGCTCCACCAGAATTGGCCCCAGATGATCTGAAGGAAGAGTGTGTGGATAGAGAACTTCGAAAGAATGTAGATGGAGTATACAGTTGAATAATAAATAATATGGTTGCTGTTTTTGATCGTTTTCATATAGTCAATTTCCCTGGGTTTGAATACCGGTCAGAACAGGGCTGTTTGCATGTTCTCCCCATGTCTGCGTAGGTTATAGGTATAGGACAATAGGTATGAATGTAACAAGTGAGTGAATGGATGGTGTTGGTTGCGGGCTTTGATGCGCCAGTGTGTTTGGAGAGAATGAATCAATATCTGAACTTTGAACATTGTAAAGCACTTTGGGTGACCTTGGTCTATAAAAATGCGCTGTATACATAAAGATGACTTACTTACTTAGTTATTAATGTGCGTATCATTATGATACTGTATCTATTAGCAAAAGAGTTGAATACAGTAAGATGACAGTGAACGTAAACACAATGGGGAGCTGGTCCTTTTATTATTGTCTGTAACATGAATGTGATTGTACGCAGGCTGGTCCAGTCTGGTCCGGACCTGGGCTCTCCTCACTCCGGCACAGAGCTGTACTTTGCCACTCGCACTGGCACGCGACTGGGCATAGAGACGCACTTGTTCAGAGCTGAAACCACCAAAGAGCTTTCCCTGTGGACCAGACTTATCGTCAACGGATGCCACTCCTCTGCCGAAATGATCAAAGAAGTCTCCACCAGTAAGTGCGGCACATGGTGTATCAATAACTACAGAACGTGAACGCCTTTACATCTGTGTGTCACCTCAAACTCACTAATAAAGTTGTTATTCAGTCACAGTATGAGCTGGAGAACTACACTCACAGAACACTTAGTACAGTAGGTGAGTGTCTATTGCTATGACAGTATCTGCACCAGGCCAGCTAATAACTCAATTTCTTTACTCAATACACAATACAACTAGGAACTAGACAATCAGTACATCTGCGATAGAATGAGAAACAATTTAATACACTAGAAACAATTTCATACATAGTATATTAGAACCATAGCAACCATAGACCCATCAATTTTTCTTTGTCCGCTGCAAGCTCCGGTCGCACACTTCCTCCAGCTCCGTCCAGGATGTATCACGTTCAAACCACAGATTAACAAACACATCACACACAAAAAAGAGAGTTGATCAAAGATTCATCTGACAACTCGTGAAAAAAAAAAAAATTTGGGACAATTCCACAGATGGAAACCAGCCTTGAGCTAATTCTGGTGTATTTACAGCTGTTCATTATTCATTATTGTTATTTTTGGGCATTTTGTCCACTCACTCCACACAGAGATGGGAGCGGGGTCACCAGTACAGGAGGCACATGCCAGACCTACTGTACATGTTTTTAGTGGTAGGGGAAAACGGAGCACCCGGAGGAAACCTACGCAGGCATGTTGAGAACATGCAAACTCCACTCAGAGAGGCCCTGTTCCGAACGGGATTCGAACCCAGGACCTTCTTGCTGAGAAGCGAGAGTGCTATCCACTCAGCCACCGTGTTGCCCAAAGTCTTGTATTTAACGCTTTGAGCTCAGAGCTAAGTGAGAGAGGTCCTCTTTCTTTGCACTTTTCTGTCAGAAAAAGCTGTGACAGAGACCTGCAATATAAAAGTGATGGAACCAAAGGGTTTTAGAGCCTGGGTGGATTGTCTCACATTGTTCTATTTTTTTATGTTTTTGTCATGAGGTGAGTTGAAGGAGGACCCAAAAAGCAGGAATGCAAATAATAATGATTTAATGGAGAATGATTAAAGGTCAGGGAAAAAAATGAAACAAAAATCCAAACAAAACTCAGGAACTAGGAGAACTAGCCTGGACGTACCACACCATAGTACAAATTACATTTCGTACTAAGGTCTGGAGGTGCTCCATTGAGCTCCGTTTACAGATAGGAGGGGTTAACTCCTTTTGCAGATAGAAACGATTGGATCTCAGTTTGCTGTGACGTATGCAGTGCGCCCGAGTGAGTTGTTAGCATTTAGCCTAGCCATCTCCTTTGCCGCTAACGGAGCCCGTGGGGAGTAGCGCCACAATTTATTGTAGCTATTACATTTGCTAAACATTACTCTTGCTCCTGCTTCAATTTCTTGATAGAACCAGACCGGATTACTTTACTATCGCATTTTTCGCCATTGCCAAACTACGACCTTCCCGTTCGACGCAAACTCTTGACGTCACCCACAACTAACTACAACACCTGCCTTCCGCGCTCTCTGGTAGGTCTGTCGAAATTCAACCGATTGTAATCGCTAACCCAGAGACCAGACCCAGACGTTACATGCAGTGAAATGATGATAGAGCGGAGTGTACGGATGGCTAAGGCCAGGCTATAGGAGAACAGACAGACAAAGACAATGGACCAGCACAAGAAAGGGAGAGGAGCACATGTACATATAGACACAGAGAGACACATGTGAAACACATCAGGGCGGGGCAGACAATCAGCAGGGGAACAGGACAGGAAGTTAGACTAAAACAAAACCACAGAGAACTGAAGTACAAAACATAAAATCCACACCATGATAGTTTTGAACATTAGCCACCCCAACTTCAATTTAAAATGGACAAGTAATACAAATGGATCAAGTCCGAACATAGACTCTTTGGTTATAGATACTGGAGAGAACTTGTGAGCTGCTATCCTTATACGTGCTCAGGCCTGTCCTTGCGAAACATATGCTGCAAGATTTAGTGGGTTGCTGCAGTAAGTCTTGCCTCAGGTCATGAAAGCCTGAAATAAAACCTAAATCCAGTGGATAAAAGCAAAGATACACATTCTCTACACTGGAATAATGCATGTGATATAATGTGACAGCCATAAAGAAGAATGGACAAAGCACTCGCTATTTTCGGAAAGGAATGTCATTCTTTATCCAGTCTGCAGTTTGGCACTGGCCACTGGTTGTCCTGGGAATTACATACACTCCTTCACATGGCCCAAAGCATCATGGGAAAACACAGGTCCCTTTGGGCTCTGCATACTGTTCTCACAAGAACATGTCGCCAATTTAGGTTTTGACTTACTGAATCAGAATATTTGAAGTGCTGATTGGGAAAAGGCGTCAGCAGAAAGAAGCCCCTTAAATCATAGATGTGTGGGCTTTAGGTCACAATGTTAGACTTTAATGAGAACAGCAAGGCCTCAGTCTGCTCTGGAGAGTTCAATTATAATCCAACACTAAGGTGGGACATAACAGATTGTATATGTCATGCTACTTGTCCGAACAATAACAAGACAGAGCTCTAAACAATTATCACTTATTAGAAAAATCCAACTGGCTTATTATTATTATTTTTTTTGACATTTTAGTGCAAATTCAATAAAATCTCACTGTTGAGCCTAAAAACGTCTGTGTGGCGCCCTATCAACCTTTTTGGTGGTACTACATTTGAATTTGGTCCTGGCCTCTCCATTGACTCTGTAATTCTGTGTGACGTCAGTGTGTATGTGTGACCTGCGTCTGTCTGCGCCAGAGATCAAAACCCATCCAACTCTCACACAAGGCCCAGTAGCAGGTTGGAGTGTTCTGGCGACATCTAGTGGATTAAAACTAAATTATATGAGCTGACAACCACTGCTGCTGAGATAATTCAGTTGATTAGGTTCAGGTGTGTAGCTCTACAATTATTTTAGTGTGTAAACAAGGGAGGAATGAGACTTTCTGCTGTGTAAACTATTGCTTTAAAGCTAGCTCCGTCCCAACAGTGGGTGTGTGTGTGGGGCGATAGCTTCGTGGGTGCGGGGAGGGGAGGAGAAAGAGAGAGGCCGCGGCTTCAAAATCCCAAAGTCAGTTAGTGCAGCTTTAAGCAGCAATGACAACTTTCTGGTTTTTTTTTTCGTTTTAAATGAGCTGTCAATCACAGCCCAGACCACGCCCAACTCTAAGCCCCCCTTCTTGTCCCATGGTCCTCCAGGGAACGCCCTTTTAAGAGAAAATGATCAAATGTTCATGTGGGCGGAGGGCTGGGCACAGGTGTTTAGTCGCTCTTTAAGTCCAAAATGCATGATCCACTTTAATGAGCGCTTAACCGTATTTAAACATTGCTAATATGATTCTATAATGACATAAAAAAATCTGTTTGATAAATGTACGTTATCTCATTATGTTTTATAGCATTCATTTGTTTTTAAACTGTGGTGAAAAAAATAGTGGTCTAAGGCATATTTTTTAGAACAGGAACTTTTACACCATGTTCTTGATGACTATCTGCATTTAATATTTTAAAATAGCACTCACTGTTCCTGTTTTCTTTAACTGTGTAATATCAATAATAATGTTTTGAATATAAAAAAACATGGATCTATGGACGTTCCCCACTGCAACTCTGTGTTTTTCGACACATGTTGAAATGGTCTGTCTACTCGTGCCCTCTTCTCACCACAGAGAAGCACAATCTCCCACGTTTCAAAATAAGTCTTCTAAAGTCACTGTGCCGTGCACTCAAGACTCCAAGAAATGTGTATAATGGACTACAGCAATCTTATCAATAGCGATATCATATACAAAACAAACATAATTTTACAGGAACACTTGTTTTATTTCTTAAAAACAAATATATATTATTTTTACTTTCACCTGACCCACTGGTCATAAAACAGCTAGGTTTTTATTGCTTTCAAAATTACTGCTATAATATTTGGTGTCCACACTGAATAGACTTGTTGCAAGGTTGCAAGACATGGTCTGACCCTCCAGACCATGTCACTCAGTGTGTGAAAAGGCGACCAGGTTTTTTTGTTTGACTGTTGCAATGGAAATTATAGACTTTTTTAAAGTTATCTTAAAAAAAACCCAAATTGCAAGTATTCTACAAAAACAATCAATTCTATTGAGTTGAAAATGGTCGTCTATTGTCCAAAACGTTGTGTGTGGTTTTCTATGTCTTTCTTCAGTCCTACAATCAAGGAATGATTGCATTGTAACAAGTTGTTTTTCTGGGAGACTTGTTCTTTCTTCATGATCAGGCAACGTGTGATAATGTGTGTGCCAACGTAATTACAACATTGTCCTGCAATTTGTTGAATAAAGAAGAGAAAAACAAGTTGAATAATAAAGTTAACAACATTCAAACATTGGACATCACTTTTGGACTGCATTCTTTGAGTCCCATCATGCAGTGGGAGGGAGCAAAGGGTCCTCTCACGTGGCTGTCATGGCAGTGACCTTGTCAGTGTTAGATCTGAGTATTTCTCTGATAAATGTCTGCGTTGGTTCTTCCGCTCACTCACTGTCACGTAGAGCAGCTCACAAAAACATTCTGGGCACCGTGCCATTCTCAAACAACTTAGAAAGAGCCATGCAATTCATTCTACACTGCAAACACATTTTAACTACACTTGGCATCGCTGTCACTTCACATTGCCATTGAGCATTCTTTCCATTGTCTACATAGATGACTTTGGCTACGCCTACATTTTTGACATTGTTATAGATAGATAGATACTTTAATGATCCCCGTGGCAGTAATTCAGGTGTCTAGTAGCAACTCATGATTATTTATTAGAAAAGGGTGTTTCACAGTAACAACACAAATAAATTGATAATTAAAAGCTAACAATAGTAATTATAAAATGCAACAGCACTTCAGGTCAGAGCAGCAGAAGTGCAGCAGCCGCTTGGTTTGGACCATTTTCTCTGCTCTAACAAATGCTGAAGGCTTCATTAGCATTTTCCAAAAAGTCCGTTTTCTCCGGTGGATTTTCGGCCGATCCCACTGGTTCGGACCACGAATCCTCTCCTCCGGTCTGGACCAGAGCAAAACCATGAATACTGTACTGCAGCAACATCTCAGGTGGAAAAAAATTAAGAAAAATAACAGATGTTTCAGAGCTACTTAGGACTCACTGCCGTTTCCAGCACCTTTTGTAAAGCACATCACACTAGTTTAGAAAGAGGTAAGGTCACTCAATCACATCAAATCACAGTTCTCCCCTCTCCTGGTCTTTAATGCACAACAATAGAAAACACATAAATTAGAGAAATGAAAAATAAAAATCAAATCAAATAAAAAAGTGGCGATAATGGTGATAATAATGATGATGATGATGACAGTATTGATAGTGATAATGATAATAATGATAACAATAAGTATATTAAGCAAATAATAAAGACTATACATATAGTACACACAGGGTTATTGTTGTTATTATTATTATCATTCATATTATTCTTACCACTATAATTGCAAAATTCAGTTTTTAAATTGTATTTCTATTTTATCAGTAAACAGCTGATTACACCAGTTAAAAAACAACACATAATTGATTGAATCATAAGTTCTGTTTTTCATTGATTCTATTGTGTATTTTGCAATAAAGAAACAACAATAAGATCTATGTTGATTATGAATTGTAGGAACATAATAACGGCGAATAACGTATGGAATTTGGTGATTTGGTTCCCGTTTGTTTTTGCTGTTACTGAGGCGGCTCTTGTGTGTGCCTCTATAGACATCCATTAGTCTGGCACAAAGTTTAAGATTGATTTTGAGGTCAAACGCACTAAAGAAACAGGTAAACAGCTTAATGACAGTGTGAGAGGAGCACTTAACCGCAGCAGCTGTGCAGAACTGAACCTCTTGACCCACCGCGACTTGCCAAGTCTCACACAGCGCGACGCAACCTTTTAAGAGCAGCTCATGTCATTTAAAAGTTGTAACTAACCGAAGGATTCGAGTTTTTGTCCCATCGTGACCCTAAATCTTTTCACCTGGACTTGCTGTCTCTTCTAATTAACATAATTCATCTCTGAGTGGTATCAAATGTCTATCACTGGAGAGTCTGCACCGCTCGCCATCATCAGGCTAAATGGGCCAATTGTGTCTGCCCTGGAAAGCCCCTGTGTATTGTATGTGTGTGTGCTGTGTGTGCTGTGTGTGTGTGTGTGTGTGTGTGTGCTGTGTGTGTGTCTGCAGGGTCCACGGCTCTCAGGTGGACGAGGGTAGGATTTCACTATGGCACAAAACAGTCTCTGTTGTTCTTGGATACAACAGGGCTTTGTTGGACTCTCTATTCTACGTTACTAAGGGGGCATACATTCTGTTCTTTGTTTTTCACAAAATGGAATCCAAAAGGTATAAACTAAAATATAACTGGATAACCACTGAATGTTTTTGCTTGCATATAGAGAGAAATACAGTCTTAAGAATCGAGCAAAGCCAATATAGATTTCTGCGTTACAGATCGGCAAAGAGTTTTGAAAACCAAAAAGATACACTGGATTTTATGAAGATGTATTCAATTACAACACACTGAATGCTTTCTTTAAAATGTGTTTTGAACACATTTCCTTTCCTGGTCCAGTACTCTATTTGAATACTTTTCCTCTCATTTGAACAATATTACTGTTGCAGTTTTAATGTGAGGGATGCATGAGATTTGAACACATTTGTTTTTGCACATTTTTAATTATTTAATAGAAAAGAGTGTTTCTTGCATACATCCAGCAAAGAGACATTTTCATTGTGTTTTGTGCATTCAAGAAAGTAACTGTGTTCTGAATACCACAGAGAGAAACTGTTTCTAAAAAATAGTTTTGTGAATACTAATTTCCATTACATCTGTTACGTTTCTTCCTAACACAATTCTTTTGTATAAAATAAAGAATGAACCCATTAGAGCGTTTCTAAAACACAATGAGATCCACCAGTTTTATTTCTTAGGTAAAATGTAAAACACACAGTGCTCACTTTTCCCACACATTGCCTTTTTAACTCGAAAGCTGTTGCACTTTACGTTTCAGAACAAGAGATTCAATTATGTGACGGCTATTTAACAATCACTGGATTTAATGTGCACATTGACTGAAATATAATTGCCATATATTAAGTAATTTGCATTGTGTGTACACCTGAAGCTGTAGCCAAACTGTTTGAATAACCACTCACTCTCATCCAGTACAGGAGAAAAGATCAGACAGGTTTAATCTGTAAATGTTTTAAACTCAAGGTCTTTAAGTTTGCAAAAGGAGGCAGGTGGGGGGTATCTCTGCTGCCAAAGCTCTGAAAATCCAACTCCATCACACAGCGGAGATTAGACAGGTTTGTCATAAAAAGTGTGAGCCATAAAGACGGAGAAATGCTTCAGAGAAAGTGGTTTCAGCATGTGACAGGCCTCCTTAAGAGAAAAGTCTGTGTAATGATGTAATGTATGTGGACAGGAGGCGCAAATCGAACCAGAGGCTTGATGAATAACTGAGCGACGAGAACAACCACAGAGAGGACCAAGGACAAAGATAACAGATGGGACAGTTTGCATATTGAGAATGAAACGGCTTTGTATTCCTGTCTGTAGTCTAAATATGACTGATAGTTCTTGTCTTGATATGGTATAGTTATGCACGGAACTATGAGCTGTCAAACTGTGTTGTTTTCATAGACTGTAAATATTAACGGACGTAGCGACGCCTATTTCCTCTGTTGAACCGGCACTAGTCGCTTTCGGAGCGGAGGCTGTATCATTTGTGCGTGTGTTAGATGGATCCAGCCTGACACATGGCTGAAAAAATGCATTCATTCAAAGTCCACAGCTGATAAACTAGGCTGGTCCAAGCTGGTCCAGGTTAGTTTTTGAGAGGAGAAAAGGCGCCTTCATTTGGATAATTCTGTTTCCTGGTAAAACACCACCGGCAATCATGTCAGTGCACATGCTCACGGACCTTTTTGATTGGGGACCCGCCCCCAATGGTTCCCACCTTGTTACTTGTAAAACACAAACTCTCACTCATTCACACACACACACACACAAACACACACACACCACACTCACTCACTCACTCACGCACATTCACACACACATACACACACAAACCCACAATCACTCACATGCATGCACACACTTACACACACACATGCGCGCAGTCACACGCACACACACACACACAAATGCCCGCACACAGGCACGCACGCACACACACACACACACTTTGAATACATTTCTTGAACAGAAACTTAATGATATCAAGCTTCAACATTTTCCTTCGACAAATTTGCTTGGAAACTTATGTTTATTCAATTTTCCACCATCTCTTATACTCTTGGCACAAAATCTGTCCTAACCGCTCCACTCTCAGCCAGGTGCTAAAGTGATGAGATGAACACAACACAGTCTTATGTAAAAGTTTCATTTGCAAAAACTGGAATCTCAGGTAACGTGTGTTTGTTGAAGCGCTGATCCGGTATTGAAGTAAGAATCTAATCCGGTTTGTTTTCTTATGAGCAGACCTTGACAGTTTTACCTGCTGCTGTAATCAGAAGTGTCATGTGATGTTGCAGTGATTGGTCAGCTATTTTAAAGACATGTTGCAACAGCGCCATCTATTGTTCGACTTCTTCAGCGCCGTGGCCCGGATTTTAGAACGTTTGTATGTCCCTCCATCTCAGTTTACAGTCTGGTGAACGGGATTATTCTGAATTTATATGGGACAGTTTCAGTCTGAAAGAGCAACCCAGTACCAAGGCATGTAGTCACAGTGACCAAAAAAAAAATAAAAAAGAAAAAACGATATGTGCTCCTTGTACTTTGAGTAGAAAGCCAAAATCTGCTTACATAAACAGTTGACCAGGCATTTCAGAGCAGCACCGAGGGGAGTAGGGTGTTTTTTAATGTGTTTTTAAGATCAAAATGATTGTTGTATCGGCAACTGCTTTGTATCCATTGCTCTTGTTAGTAGAGCACAAAAGTGAATTTATTTCTGCAATTCGACTTAAAATGTGAAACATATTGGACTTTTGGTGAAACATTGAACTAGACTCATTACATGCAAAGTGATGTATGTCACGTTATTTTGATGTTTATGGCTTACAGTCCGTTTTCACAATATTTCAGTGTTGCTAATTGTCATTGTTATTAATGTTATAAGTTGAATTACAGAAGTAATTGGACTGTTGAACAATCTTCTAATCCTCCCGAGTTTCACCTGTATTTTTGTGTTCATATGTCAGCCGATTTCTACAAACAAAATGTCTTTCTCTCAAAGTGAATCAGCTCAAATCAAGTCGGAGTGAGACTCTGTAGTTTACCACTCGATTATGGCAAAACGAACTTTGACCATTGACTGCTTACGTTATACCAGGGGTCTCCAACCTGTAGCTCGCCACCTCCCTTCCAGGTAGCTCGCCAAAGGATTGAGAAATGAACATATATTTCATATTTATTCATTATCATTATTTGTTATTGTAAATGCACTAACTTTGTGCACTAGTTACACATACGCAATGATAAACAAGGAATTTACCCAATATCAGGCTTGTTCACACCAATACTGTATATATCACCAAATTTTTCCAAGGGCTTAAAGGAGTAGCTCTCTGCCTTTATCGTCCTGGGAAAGTAGCTCTCTGGGTGGAAAAAGGTGGAGACACCTGGGTTATACTATAAGTGTGTTGGGATGTGTGATGTTCTAACTCACAATCAAAAAGAACCATTTCCCTTCTGGCTCACTCACTCATGTCCTGTTGTGTTGCAGGCTGTCTGTTCCAGGGGCAGGAGTGCAGGCTGGTCATCCATTATGAAAAGGGCTTCTCTGTGGTGACGGATCCAAAGCTGCTGGACGATCACAGCGACGATGTCCACTTGGCTCAAACTCCGGTCAAACCTCGCGTGCTGCTGTCCCACCCCTTTGAGAGGCTGAAGATGTCCTCAGACGACGAGATACGGATGCTTTTCCTCGACTTCGGCGGCAAAGAAGGCGAGATTGTGAGTGATTTGTGTTGTTCAGCCTGTGAAAGGAGTGACATGTCCATAGACTGCTGAATTGACTTGTTTTGAAATCTATATCATGATATTAAATCTGTCAAAAGTCAAGTCCAAAGCAGAAATCATAAACACAAGTTCACTAAGTCATCCAGCCAACTTCAGCTCTGCTATTGTACACATGCCATACAACACTTTTAATGTTAGGTGAAATGTGTTCAAAAGTGCATTTACCTGTATTTCTGTAATTCAAATGTTATCCTAAAATATGACACATTACATAGTGACATATGTCAACCCTTTGTGAATATGTTATGATTATGTCTTAACCCTTTAATGGTTTAACCATTTGGTGGATCACATTTTGAGTCACTATACAAGTATCTACTTGAAGCTTGGAACTGAAATCGACCTCTTCGGGGAATCTCTATCACTTGGTTTTAGGCACTTATACCATCAAGCACAAGCTGCATCCCAAACATTTGGTAAAGGCCTATGATATCTCAATCTCTATCTATGATGATACCTCTCTGTATAAACAGACCGTTAAGATCATGGACAAGAAACCAATGAGATGGCATCACTGTGATACAGAAGCACACACTTTTTACTTTTGAAAACTTTGTACATTTCTCAATTTTAAATGTCTGAACAACTGTGTGTCGCCTGTGTTCTCTGGGCTCATGCTGAAACGCCAGTCTGCTCCCAGAGCCTCCTCCAGAGCCTCAGTCAGTGGGGACTGTGTGCTCCCAAAGCTCAGAACATCTTTTGGACAATCCAGCTTCTCCTTTAGGGGGTTAAACTGTGGAACTCTCTCCCCACCAGTCTAAAACTACAGACCAACATGACCATCTTCAGCAGAGAGCTCAAACAGTGGTTAAGATCCAGACAGAGTTGTTCTCACATGTAAATTATATATATATATGTAATTCTTTAAGTTACATATTTATCTCCTGCACTGTAAATAGCCCCTGTGGACAAGTGTTGAAAATTAGGACCTGTGCTAAAACACTTACAGCAATGCATCTGGTTCGTCTAATATTATTGTTATGTCCATAGTAAATAAAGAAATGAATAATGAAAAAAAACCTTAGGGGGTTCAAGGAGAAATACAAACAAAACATGCATTGCTTTCTTCAAGATTAAATTTCAAAAGATGTTTTGGGGGGTTTTATTATCAACATTGCCCATAATTATCAACATTTTAGCAAAAAGTTTGAATGTATCTCACTTTGCTATATTTAAAATTATGTTTTTCTGAAGTGCTAGCCACTGAAAGTATTTATAAAGCAGCATTCATAGAGAAATTAAAAACAAACATGGGTTACAAAGAAGAATCCAATCTATAATAACAATATATATTCCAATCCAAATCTCTACTTATCTTCTTATCTGTGGAACAAAAGTAAAAACTCTCATCACCAGTGCAGCCATTGTGTAAATATGTAGATGTGTGCATTATGTAACACATTTCAAATCGACCCAAGTCATAAAAGACAAAACATTATTATTCATTTTAGGGATGGGGCACCGAATAAATACATGGATAGAAGAAAATAAAACGTGTAGAAATGTCTTTTTGTGTGATATACATAGACTTAAATCAAAACAGTATTATCTAAGGTTACTGTGGTCTTGCACGACTAACAGAACAAGTTCATTGCTGCTCTCAAGAGGTTTGAAGAGGCCGTTGGGGAAATGAGGCAAAAAAATATCAACTAAGAGAGCCAGGCACAGAGTGGAGCACAGAAAAGTAAATTACAGCACTTCATCAGAAAATAACCCCTAAATAAATGCATTTCGCTGCAGGCCGTTGTAGCTGGGAGCTTTTAGTGTGGAGTGGACTCTCTACAGAGCAAAACAAGCTTGTCACATAGTCTGAGAGCTTTAATCTGTAAACCACAGTCTAGTGATTGCGGACTAGTCTGGGTGTTCTTGTGTTATTATTTTTTGTGTGTAATAACAGTGTTTATGCAGTTTTTTAAAATATATTTTCTGGTTCTACCCCGTGGTACTGTTATCTCCCGTCGTGACCTATTCAGAAATGGAGAATTATGTAGGGTAGAAAACATGTTGTTGAAGAAAAATGTTTGATTTTTTTGTGCTCATTTTGTGCTAAATAACTGAAAGCAAAATGATTGCAGCATTTTTTGGCAGTAGACCGGAGCTGTAGACTGGAAAAAAGTGGGAAAAACAGTGGAAGAAACACAGTGAGTATGAAATAGTTAGTTATTAGGGGACATATTATGCAAAATAGCTTTTAACCATGAAACAACAATACAAAACATTTTTCCCTCATCAAAAATAGGAGTTGTTTTTAGATCCATCCACGCTAACGTCAGGTCGCACAAACACGTAACTCTGACTTTTCGGCCTTTTTAAACTGAAGTATCTCCCATAAATGAGTTTTGGCAATGTCTGCGGTGAAAATAAATTTAAGTTCAACTCCAACTCCAACTGCAACTCCTCCTTCTAGTGTTCTGATGGAGTTACAGACGGAAAGTATTTTTTACCCTACATACTTAGGGTCAGTCCAAAGTCAGACCCTAGCCCTTGATATGTTCCCTTACCCTAGATTCTGCTCGTACCCGCAGGGGTGTAGGGTGTCCCAATACTTTAGGGAGCAACGTTGAGTGCATGTTCTGTTCTGTTCTTGTGCCTGTTCCCAGAGCAAGGGTCTGAATTGGGACTGTCCTTTAACACTATCGAACTATCAGAGCAGTCAAATTAACAGGAAGTGTAATTACTCATTTCATGCGCATTTGTGGTAACTTTTTCTGTCATTATTTTGTATCACTTATTTACTTTTGAAATGTGTGGAGTTCTACCTTTAACAATTTTTACACCAGAAAATATAAAATGCTAGTTACCATAGCAACACACTGTTTACTGTCAGAAGTTAGGATAGGCCTATTAGCCTTTTTTTTGTTGCTGTATTTCAGTTATAATCATTTCTGTTATAATCACCAGTTTTAGCACTTGTTAAAAGTGTTACTTTTAAGGAAAGCTTTACTTTTCTGTAGTAAAAAAAAAACCTCAACATTCTTTGGGAGATTTGATTGAGAATTCCTTTGGTTTGGATGGGAGCAGTTAAAATGACGGTTCTGGGACTTATAGCAGTTTCAAAATTATTGGAGTCATAGTGTTTAAGATATTATTGCACAAGTAAATAGTTTTTTATCATTTTTAACAGCAAAAATAATTCATTATTTGTCTTCACATATTTTAATAGAGCAGCATCAGTGAGTTGTTGTTGATGTATGAATGCCCTTGTGGAAAGTTAAGATAATTTGATCAGTAGTTTGCATGATGGCAGTTAATTAAAGAAGTCTTGAGCGAGTGTCTGTCGAAAAGTGGAATAAGTTGGCCACCTCAGCAGAACAGATTCTGGTGCTCTTTCCCATCTCGGCTCCAAACATGAAAGTCCCACAGCATTTAAGGAAGCAGCTGATGGCTCATTAACTCTGTGTTTGAAATGTAATCAGCTGGTTATTTTTCTCCACACTTTCACCACTGACAGTGACATTATTTGGCAAGAAACATAGTTGCCTATAATATTCTGAGCGGCAGACATTGACTGCTTATCTTCCCACACAGACTGAAATGATTATATTACAAATTACTTCAGCCAAACCACGTATCAAACATTTGATAGGGAAATTACAGAGGCGCACAAATGCAATGTTTTTAATGAAGTCAAGAAATGCTGTGATTTATAATTGATCTACTTATGCCACTTTTTGAGAAACTTGTAATAAAGCCAGGATACCTAACTTTGTGTTTCATCATTAAAGCTGCATTACCTCACTTTATTTTTGTATTCATTAAAAAAATTCAATCCATATCCATGAAATGCATTGGGATATACGTCCTTTTGAAGAAATAGTAGCGCAGATTTGTGCTTGCGTGTCATTTTATTTTAGATCTAGTTTTCGTGCAATAAGTAAGAGAATGTGTTTCGGGACCAGATCGTGACCAATCACAGCGGACCACTGGCCCCCACTTTCTTGAGAAAAGCTACAGGTGTCTCGTTAGCACAGACAGCTGAGGTAAACAAGCGGCGGAGGCTAACCTGAAACTTCCTGTGTCTTCGTTACCGGTTACTGCTTACACAGCGAAACATCCATCCAAAAGAAAGTCTCGTTCCTCTGCGCTTCCTGGTTCTATCATTCTATGGTCACGCCATCCACGTTCAAATGTGCAATCCATATTATGAGACATGAGCTCCGTAAACACATAAGCGCAGGCTGAGTGGGGGGTAGTGGGGGGAAATAGCTCCATGAGTGCGGGGAGGGCGAGCAGAAAGAGCAAGGCCAGCGCTCATATGAGTGAGATTGTGCAGCTTTAATACATAGAAAAACCTGCACTGCTATTGCCACTCTTTCTTTAATTGCCCCTTTTAATTTTACATAATTATATCCTGCACAGACTATATATTTTTTAAACCTTAAACATGTTTTCTGTCTTTTGCACAATCTATCTATGCCAAATGTGACATTGGCATTGACATGTGTACATTTCTCCAGTGTGACATGAATAAAGTCCATCTTATCTTGTATTGTTTGACACAACAGTCCTGTGAAAGTGAACTTTTGCATGTGAACAAATGAGACCTCAACATCTCGTAAGAAAGAACCCAGTAAGTCACTATTCGACACTTTTGGCTGATTTAATGAAATACATAGTTGAATTTGTATTGGTTTGGTGGTACTCCAGATTTAAATGATGAACAGTTAACATGTTAATCTGTCAATGCCCACTCGTGTATGTACGCAAATGTTTGAATCGAACTTGGACGCACAATCCATTATTTTCAATTAAGATTAAAGTCAGCCCCAGTGCAGCTCCTCTCCTTCCCCCCCGCAAGGCTGCTCGGTTTGAATATGTCACGATAATCTGCAGCCTGTTCTGCTCCTCATGGGGAAACTCACTGGAACTTGGCTTCCAGTGTATTTTAAGATTTCATGAACTTTACAGAGCCTCTTTTCTTCTTCCTGTCATCCACCCTGATAGAACGTACTCTCTGATCTTTTAATCATACCAGCCCCTTCATTTGAAGCATTTTTCTTTCTTATCCAACTTTGAAATGTAGTTTTCCTTTTGTGTTTTTCAGCAGTTGGACCTTCACTCCTGCCCAAAACCCATCGTCTTCATCCTCCATTCCTTTCTCTCGGCCAAAATCTCTCGTCTGGGTTTAGTGGCCTGACCCCGACACAGCACATGGCTCCAACTATCCCCCCCCCCACTCGAATCCGGGCCGGAGCGTTGCTGAATGTACTTCTACCACTGGCTCATATTGTGGAGAGCCGCAGAGAGGCAATCCAGGGTAGATATTATGAGTAGAACAGACTGTTGAAAGGCCGGGAGAGACCGTGGCTGAAGACTCATGAGAAAAAAACAGCAGGGTGCTCAGGCAACAGAAGAGACCAGAGCAAAGAATCTACTGGGCATTACTGTCGGCGATGTGTAGCACTGGGAAAAATCATTTGAAAAACCATTGTACAAGTTATAAGTTATTTCACGTCTGGTATTATCACACTACATGTTCGTGAACTGATTGAGGGAACTGAAAAAGTGAACAAAGTTACAGATGTATATATTTGTTTCAATTGCTGTGTCAAGTGAGTTCATTTGCAAAAATAGATTTCTGAAAATGTGTCAAAAAGTTGAATCCCTCTAGAAACAATCTTCAAAGTGTTTTGTTTTTGGCAGATGGGGTAAAATGGTATTTGTTTAGAACTAAAATAGATCTGGCTTTTCAAAAGACTAATTGAGAAAGAGCAAATTGAAAGCCTTTCAAATATATATCTATATATATTTTTCAAATATATATATTATTATTATTATATATATATTTTGCAAATTAATTATTCAATTTTAGATAGTTATACTAATTTACATTAAGAAAATCTGAATCACTGTATTTATACATGTAATTTAAGTTTATTTTAATTTATAATGACTTCATTAAAATTCAAATGGAGGTTTTAAATCAGAAAATATTTTTGTTTACGAAAGGTAATTTACCTGCACAATAAACTGATTTAGTTTTAGTTTCTTATTTGTATTAATTGAGTTGTTCATTTACAAACATTATCACTGTGACTCATTCTGTTCCTTTACGTAGATACAAGAAGAAGACTGAAAACCTCAAGTGTTAGAATATTGTCTGATGAGTTTGTATGAAGCCTTTGGCAGCTACTGAACTGTCACCAAGAGATGTAAAGATTATTTTTGAACTAAATCATATGAATCATGTAAATAAAAAGTGACAAGAGCTTTTGTGTTTCATATTTAATTAGTTAGTTAGTAAGTAATAGTGAAAACAGTGGTGCATCAAACACGTTTCTGGAAAATATACTATACTATACTATATAATATACGGTTGAGCTTCTTCCTCATTGATTTAAGGATTTTCCTTTTCTCCTAAGTTACTGTCGGTGGTTTAAGTATTACATTATTGTACAAGACCAATTCCGGGGGGTGGCAGTCAGAGCTGCCTCCTGCTCCTCCTGCAGGTGGTGAGTCCACAGGACCATGGCTGTTCTGTCAGTGACGACACAGCATTGATCTTTCACCAGGGGCTTCAGGCAAAGTGAAATAATAGATAAAAACACAGAGGCATTGGTCCATAAGGGGTAAATGACCAATGTCCATACATGTTGAATGTTGAGTGTCCTGGATCATCACCACAGCCCTTTAGTTAGATCCAAGGAAAAATTCCAAAACCCAGTGGGAAAATCTGAGAAACCTCGGGGAGGACCTCTCTCATGGAGAGAGGGATCCACTCCCATGGACCGACGGGCTAAAGATCCAAGACTCAGGCTGCAGCACGAGGACCAAGGCCAGATGTTGCAGGACTCAGGACCCAGGCGGTGAGTGAGTGCAGCCCACGAGGCAAGCCGGGCAGGACAGTCTCTGCGGGTGCAGATGGAGGAGGCCGGGTCCCATCATCACGCCATGAAACAGACAGCGGATGAATAGCAATGAACAGACTACAGCTGAAGTCATAATGATGACAGATGACAGTAGGAAGGAGGATAGTGCTCAAGTTACCATACTTCTCCCAACAAACTAACCATATTTGGATGAGCTGAAAGGTTTTTTATAGAGGATTTAGGTAACGCTGCCTGCAAGGCATTACATTATTACGCTGTTTTAGTTGCTTGGTTTATGTGTCACTTGAAGAAGAACTCTCAATTACGAACCCGAGATTCCTCACAGTGTTGCACTGTCATTATTGGGTGCAATTATCTGATCTGCGAGGGAGACGCGTAGACTCTCAGGACCGAGCAATATTACTTTTGTCTTCTCCGAGCAGATAGTTAAGAGTCATCCACGCTTTTAGGTGTTTTAGGCAGGCACTAAGCCTTTCTAAGTGATCTGTCTGGTTTCATAGACAGGTAAAGCTGTGTGTCATCTGCATAGCAGTGGAAGCTAATATCATGCTTTTTAATTACGTTGCCAAAAAGAATCGGCTCGAGTACCAATAGTGACTTTTGTTGTACAGACCAGATAAGTTAAATATTCCAGAGGGAAGGTTTCATAATGAGGAAACTTCAAAGGTGAGCATAATACAATAGATTTGAGGTTACTAACATCATGAGAAGGACTTAAACGTTTTTGTATCCCTTTAGCCCAAAGATTGCCCATTGTTGACTTGTATGGTTAATATCTGGGCAATCTACAAACTCCACCTTTACTATCTGGCCTGTAATAATAGTAATAACTCAGGATTTTGAGCGTGGCATATGGGGACCGAACTGTCTGAGATCGCGCTGTCTGATACTTACATCTGGCCACCAATTATCCGGACCTTGCCTTTCCATGAGTGTCAGAATGATGGGAGATTTGCAAAAATATCCGCACAACTTTGCCTATTAACTGAAATCCCATGATGTCTTTAGTCAGGAGTGTACACGCTCAAATCTGCTCACTCGAATAAGAAAAAGGACAACGACTAAGAGGCGTCCAAAGCTCTTATCTAAAGGATTTGAGTGTCTGTCTGCCAAAAAGTAGCAGAATGATTGTTTGTGAGCAGTGCTACTCCAACAGGGAGTCTCTTGACGTTGTTTACTCCCCTTGTTAGGCCGAGAGTAATGAGCTGGCACTAGTTTGAGTTCAGCCTTCTTGACGACCAACCACAACACTCTTGTAACCCAGACTTTGTAATTGTATCTGCCTTTGTTACATCCCGGCACCAAACAGATGATACTTGGTTGGAAATTTTATCCAGGTCGGATTCCCCACCGGCTTGGACATGGAGTTGTGGCTTTGGCAGGAGAGGGCTGTTACTGTGCCAGCCTGTATTTCTCACTGCACAAAGACATAAATGAACTATTGTTTTCTTGTAACAACTCGCCCTCACACCAGTGCTCTTGTTTCGCAGTCTGGGAAACCAGATTGATGGGGACAGATCTGGACGAAGGCCAAGTCGATCAGCAATCAGCCATGAAATACAATTGGGGGAGTTGTGTAACATGATCATTTCAGTTGTTTTCTGGGACCGGTCGGGGGCTGCTTTGACTGAGTATAGTTTGTTAAAGATTCTTCTGCTTGGATGGACAAGTCCTTGCAAGCCCAGGACTGCCTCGTCGCTCTGCTCTTTCGGCTGCTCCGTGTTGTTAATTGTCACCAGAGCCATTGGTTTGTAACAGATGTTATTCTCATTACTGCAGAGCTTATGTCACATGTGCTGCTCGGTATAGTTATCTGCAAGCAGATTAAGGCGGTTAATTGGTGTAAATAATAACGGCAGACAGTTCCACCAATGTAAGAACCACACACTCTACAAACAAAGCCTTAAGGGATAGTCTAGGACAGAGGATCCCAAAACGTATTACTCAGCGAATCTGTGGTCTAAGAGACAGACCTATTCAGCATAATTATTTTGCCTATTATATATCCTTAAATCAACTCAATGTATTGGGGAAATACTTTTCATCTCCTGAGTCTTTTTAGTGTCTGAAACATTGTTCAAATCTCAGGAGAACAGACATCACTGGAGAGGACAAAAAAATGATCCATGTTTTTTTCTGTTTCAGCACAGCCTTGATTGTTTTCTCTTGTTTAAAAAGGTGTTTTTGCCCGTATTTGAGCCAAATAAAAAGAATCTTTGCCTTGGTATGAAAATATACATACACAATAAACAGAGGTACATCCATGCTTGATTAAGAGCCCTGTTGAATCCATAGAAGCCTAAACAAAAGCTAAACTCAATTCAGAAAGGATCAAATGTTCCACTCTAATATTAGAATGTATTAAACTATGACCACACCATCAACCAATCACATGAGAACAAGGATTTTTGCTTTAAGGTGACTACATGCACCTTTTCTCAAGCTTATTATAAATCACTACAATGGTGAGGTCAATGCTTTGCCTAGAAGGCTTCACCAGGGAGCGGAGTGGCGTCCAAACCTATTTTTAACTACGTATGGCAATTTTTCACAAAGGTGTATTTAACACGGCTTTGACATTGCCACCGTGCCTTTACAAAAGCTTTGTGCGTTCAGCTTTGTACCACAGGGCAGTTTTTTATGTGGTGGAATAACACAACTGAACATAGTAAGAGCACACTATTTTGGGTTGGAGCACTAATTGTAAGTGTATCTTGTGTTTTTATGTTGATTTAATAATAATAATAAAAAAAAAGAGCACACTATAGCACTGCACTACAACTCCAACTAGAAGTGAAAAAATAAAAAAGCTCAAGAAAAAATAAGGCAGCTTGTCACTTAATCCAGTTGAACATAAATCAGCGCTATTCATAATTTATTAGATTTAGATTTTTCCCGGTGGCATGACACTGGTTTGATAATTTATGAGATATAGACAGGAAGGCACAGTCTGTGTAGATAAAAATGGGAAAATATTTTGACAATCATAGTAGGGACAAACTCATCCTAATGTTTGGCACAAATAATATGACACTTTAATGATTCATTCAACTAAATAAACATATTTTCTTTTAATTGGATTCATCAATTAAAGTAGACTGGGAGTTTATGCACTTTAAATTTCATGTTTAAATATATGACATTTATAAAATAATTACAATTTATGATTTAGTGTTAACTGTGTTTAAGCCGACTATTATTATTACAGCATATTCAACAGTATATGCCCCCACTGAAAGATCAAGGCTGTGCTCACACTCAGAGAGCAGCCGTCCTCCTGTGGACTCACCACCTGCAGAGGGTCAGTTAGGGGCTGGTGCTATGAGACTTGGGTGGCATCTCTGACTGCCACCCCCCTGACCCAGAAATGGATTAAAGGGTAGAAAATGGATGGATGGATGGATATTCAACAGTGTTTTTTTTTATTTATTTTTTTTAAAGAAGACAGACATACTTTGAAGTACCACAATTAAGTACTTCTTTAACTCAAACTCAATTCATTAGGAACCAAACCGAAGAGCAGTACTGACCAAACGAGAACCCAAAAACTGTGTCTATACTTACATTTTTCAGATCTGCAGAGCCAGCTTCCTCTATCATCAACCAACTCGGCCAAATTCAAAAGGTCTGACAATCTTTTCTGATAAGTTTGACTCTGAAACTCAGGAAGAATAGATTCCAAGAGATTCTGAGAGCTTTAGCACACGTATTACCTCACTGGACGCTTCATACCAAATTATTTATGAACTCTCTATTTCATGAAGTCATTGATTCGGATCTTCTGTAATCTACAGAACAAATCCTGCTTAGCCACATAGATGGTAGAAAAGTCCCGATCACATTTACCTCTACACAAAGTACACATTTTATAGGAAGTCTATTGTGGATCTATAAAAAGCAGCACACAGCTTTATTGCTAGTTTTATGCTTGACAAAATCCAGGCAATTAAAGCCATTATCCACAGATGGCTCTACTGAGTGGCTATGATCCAAGAATCCCCATATTGTGAAAATTGGTTCCCTAATAGACAGCGGAGATCTGAGAAATTAACTTATTACACCTGCTCCTAGGGAGATGGCTAAAATATGTTCTTATGAAATGGAAGTTCTGCCCAACCAGATGAGGCTTTTAACTGGTTTTCTGGTGAAAGACAGTCATTATAATGTCAAAGTTAGATATAAGTTTGAGAATCTTTTAAACACTTTAGGGCAATTTGGATACTTTCTTTGCAAAGGAGATTTGCTAGAAAAGCTATTTCATTGAAAATACAAAGAGCCCCTTGTGTGGTTCATATAAAAGTGAGAAAAGGCTGCAGAATTTAATGGTGTGGGGATTTGCTGAAAAACAAAGAGTATTTTATTTTGACTATTTTATTTCGCTGGAAACGTTAGATTTTGTATGAAAGATGAAAAGATATGAAAGATAATGTAAAAAAATCTTTCTTTTCACCCATTGTTTGTAGTTGTGTGAAGCTATTCGTTGTCAAATAAACATTTTCTATAATTGTGTCGCACTGGGGAGCTTTCAAATGTCTCGTTCATGGAAGGTGGCTGTAAAATTTGGGGCCCCTTTGGCCAAATGAACTAGAAGTTTTTTGCCATGAAAAATGGACAGCTTTACCATCAGAGAGAAGAAAGAACTTAGACCACAAGTACCAAAGAAGACTCCAAACTGTTAAAGATGTTAAACAATTGTGAATTGGGGGTTGGAAACTTCTGATCAGGGTAATCATTATAAATAAAAATATAATTCACAGTTATATAACAATAAACGGCGTCAAACAACCACTGTAGATACAGTGGGGCAAAAAAGTATTTAGTCAGCCATCATTGCCCGGGCGGCGTTTTTGGGATCAGTCTCATTCTGAAAGACCCAGCCACGTTTCATCTTCAATGCCCATGCTGATGGAAGGTTTTTGATCAAAATCTCACGATACATGGCCTCGTTCATTCTTTTGTCCAGCCCCAAAGGAATGAACAGCCCCAAAGCATGATGTTTCCACCCCCACTCTTCACAGTAGGTATGGCATTCTTTCTCCTCCAAACACGAGTTGAGTTTTTTACCAAAAAGTTCTATTTTGGTTTCATCTGACAATATGACATTCTCCCAAACCTGGATCATCCAAATGCTCTCGGGCAAACTTCAGACGGGCCTGGACATGTACTGGCTTGAGCAGGGGGACACGTCTGGCACTGCAGGATTTGAGTCCCTGGCGACGTAGGGTGTTACTGATGGTACTTTGTTACTTTGGTCCTAGCTCTCATTCAATAGGTTCTCCCGTGTGGTTCTGGGATTTTTTCTCACCGTTCTTGTGATCATTTTGACCCCCAGGGGTGAGATCTTGCGTGGAGCCCCAGATTGAGGGAGATTATCAGTGGTTTTTTATGTCTTCTATTTTCTAATAACTGCTCCCCCAGCAGATTCAGTCTTCCCAGCCTGGTGCAGGTCCTACAATTTTGCTTCTGGTGTCCTTTGACAGCTCCTGGGTTTTGGCCATAGTGGAGTTTGGAGTGTGACTGTTTGAGGTTATAGTTAGGTGTCTTTAATACTGATAACAAGTGCAAACGGGGGCCATTCATACAGGTAACGAGTGGAGGACAGAGGAGCCTCTTAAAGAAGGAGTTACATGTCTGTAAGAGCCAGAAATCCTGCTTGTTTGTAGGTGACCAAATACTTATTTTCCACCATAATTTGCAAATAAATTATTTAAAAATCAGACAAAATGATTTTCTGGATTTTTTTCTCATTAGGTCAATTTTGCATTAAAACATGCAAAATTGGTGGCTGACTAAATACTTGTTTGTCCCACTGTATACATAGTAGTCAAATACTGTATATGGGGATGTGTCGATTATTTCAGACAACTACAGTAAACCTTGCCTGTTGGTTCTCTTTGATGTAATCCACCCACGTAAAACATTTATTGTTTTAGGTCAAGAATTCAATCCAGCTTCACCCACTCACAATATTCACAGGTGCACCACTGCCCACAATATGAGTTCAAGACCAGTTTATTCCCCAACTGCCCAATATAGATCAAACACATACAAATAAAAATACATTTACAAATAACTTACATCAGCGCAGTCTCTTTACAAGACAGCATAATTTAAAATGTGCGTAGGTGATCCAAATACAAGACAAAATACCTTTAAGTTAGGTTAATAGTCCAGGGATAATAGATTTTTTAAGATAAAAAAGGACCAACATATTAAAAAATCCTAAGAAATCCTGGTTGGACATATAGGTTTATATGTCATTATTTGTGAAAATGGTTAGTTTAACACAATCTGATATCATAAAAGTATTCAAAACCCTTGTCCTAAAGCTAGTCCTAACCCAAACAATAGTGAGCCCTAGCCCCAACCTTAACCCGAGCCTGAACCTTAACTCTAGAAGACCTAACTTTATCCTAGCCCAGTGAAACAAAGATTCTGGACTGCTACTTGGTGATATCAGATTATTTGTTAGACAACTACACAGCAATAGGATTAATTGTCTCTTTTACTAAAACGACAATCTCTGTATTATATGTATGTATTTTAGTAATACAAGTTTCTTTGAAACCCAACACTAATCAAATATGTCTCAAAATAGTGTTGCTCATATGTATAGTAACGTTTATTTCAAAGAAACTTGTACTGCAATTAAAATTGTTAAAACTTGTTGTGACAAGAGGTAAGAGAAGATGAGCCTGTGTAGCATTTTTGAGCATGATTAGTGCTGAACTCATTTGCAAGAAACTTGTACGAACAATGTGTCTTCCAGTGTGTTAAGTTTCATTGTGGTTGGAGTAAAGGAACCAAATAAACCTATTCAGGTGTCGTTGACTAATCTTGAAATCTGGAATAGATTTTTTAGGACTTTTAGTTGGATTCATGGTGAAAAAAATATGATTGGAATAAAACCTTTGCTGGGCCTATGTCTTGGTTGAATCTTATAAGCTCAGAGATCACAAATAAAATATTCACATTTATAAAATTAAACTTCAAACAGTGTTCTCTTCACTTAGAGTATTTCTCCAGAACCCAATCAGTGACCTACAATGAGAGAAAGTGTGTTAACGAGGATCCAGGGAGAATAAAACTCGACTTGCGCTGTGAGGAGCTCTTTTACTTGTTTAACGTTGCTGCTGGCGGCTTTCTTCATCTCGTCATGAAGACCCCGCGACGTTTTCAAATCCTTAAATCAAAGAGGAACAAATGGAGGCGAGAGTGAGAGATGCTTAAATGAGACAAATCTCAGTTGTTGATCATCATAATCAGACCTGTTAGTAACAAATTAATCTGAGATGGAATTTCAGACCATGATGTTTTACATTCAACAATATTAGGTTACATACAGTACAGACAGAAAGTTTGGACACACCTTCTCATTCAAAGAGTTTTTTTATTTCAATGACTATGAAAATTGCAGATTCACGCAAAATGCATTAAAACTATGAATAAACTCATGTGGCATTGTGTACGTACTTAAAAAAAAAACACTCTTGGCATTCTCTTGTTGAGCTTCAAGAGGTAGTGACCTGAAATGGTCTTCCAACAGTCTTGAAGGAGTTCCCAGAGATGCTTTGCACTTGTTGGCCCTTTCGCCTTCACTCTGTGGTCCAGCTCAATTAAAACCATCTGGATTGGGTTCAGGTCCGGTGACTGTGGAGGCCAGGTCATCTGGCCCAGCACCATCACTCTCCTTATTGGTCAAATAGCCCTTACAGAGCCTGGGTGTGAATCTACAGTCAATAGTCATGAGAAGAAAGGAAACGCATTGAATGAGAAAGTGTGTCCAAACTTTTGATCTGTACTGTATCTTCAAAAAGAACATTATTTCCCCAGTGGGGTTTTGTAGATTTCATTTCTCAAGGCCTCAGCAGCTACTCTGATGACTTCTTCATGAGGCAAAACCCCAAACAACACAAGAGATTCACAGAAGGTCACAGATATGAGTGTGTAAAACTGTTGTAAATTTAGACTTCTGTCCATTTTTTTTCCATCCATTTTCTTCCCTTTAATCCATTTCTGGGTCAGGGGGGTGGCAGTCAGAGATGCCACCCAAGTCTCATAGCACCAGCCCCTCACTGACCCTCTGCAGGTGGTGAGTCCACAGGAGGACGGCTGCTCTCTGAGAGTGAGCTGATCTTGATCTTTCAGTGGGGGCTTTGGGCAAAGTGGGGTTAAGTGTCTTGCCCAAGGACACAACGACAGCAGTCATCAGTGGGAGTCGGTGGAGAAGGTGTGGAGGTGGGAATTGAACCCACGACCTTCTGGGCTTAAGGCCAATGCTCTACCAACTGAGCTACTGTCGCCCCTCATTTTAGACTTCTGTTTTTAACAAAAACAAAGACATATTTCTGGAATAAATAATAAGTATTCTCATTTGTGCGAGATCATAAGTGGAAGAAAACAGGATAAAATCCAAATTAGATCATTAAAGTAAACTTAAAACGATAATTAGACTTGGGGCAGATGATGTTGTTTTTTCTGCACTAGATCACAGGGAGGACCACCACAACAAGCATTACCCTCTCATATAAACACAATGTTAGGGCACCAGTCTCCAGCAAAGGATTCCAGAGGGAGGACATGTGCATTAGGCAGGTTAGTGCACTCAAAGAAATGATTCAGGTGGTTAGTATTTTGAACTCAAAATACATACTGAACTAAACTCAATAATTGATTTTTGCCAATTTTACTTAAATGAGTGTGGTTGCAACTCATTTTAAACATGCCGGTCTCAATTAAAAGTTAATACAAGAATCCTAACTCATTTTTGTAACAAATTTGAATTTGATATTCTGGCATAACTGGACAACGGAGAAGTATTGAGTTTGCTCAACATGAAAATCCTCTTGTAAGCCTGGTGGTCCATTAATGACAAAACAAATATATTGAGTTGATTCAAAACAAAATGTGGCGAAGCAGTGATGCTACCCAGAATGCATTGCAGCGAAAAATATAAACTTCTTAAAAATTCTACATTTGAGCATTAATTTTAAAACTGAATATGAAGCAAGTCCTAAAGCAAAATACTTGAGCAACATTCTGAATAAACTAATTTGACCAAATAAGTAATTGTATTTATTTTTATCAACCATGATCGAGAGGGCCATGCCAAAGCAGTCCTATACTCCCTGTGTCATCCTCCAATTTTGAACAAATACGCCCATTCACGCCAAAGAGTTTAATCTTTGTCTCATCAGACCAGAGAATTTTTTTACTCATGGTTTGAGAGTCCTTCAGGTGCCTTTTGGCAAACTCCAAACTGAGGAGCGGCTTCCGTCTGGCCAATCTACCATTCAGGCCTGATTTGTGGATTGCTGCAGAGATTGTTGTCCTTCTGGAAGGTTCTCCTCTCTCCACAGAGGAACGCTGGAGCTCTGACAAAGTGACCATCAGGTACTTAGTCACCTCCCTGACTAAGGCCCTTCTCACCCGATCGCTCAATTTAGATGGCCGGCCAGCTCTAGGAAGAGTCCTGGTGGTTCCGAACTTTTTCCATTTACGGATGATGGAGGCCACTGTGCTCCTTGAGACCTTCAAAGCAGCAGACATTTTTCTGTACACTTCCCCAGACTTGTGCCTCGAGACAATCCTGTTTCGGAGGTCCGAAGACCTCCTTTGACAATTCCTTTGACTTCATGCTTGGTTTGTGCTCTGACATGCACTGTCAACTGTGGGACCTTATATATATATATATATATATATATATATATATATATATATATATATATATATATATATATATATATATATATATATATATATATATATATATATGTGTGTGCCTTTCCAAATCAAGTCAAATCAACTGAATGTACCACAGGTGGACTCCAATTAAGCAGTAGTAGTATCTCAAGGATGATCCATGGACACAGGATGCACCTGAGCTCAATTTTTAGCTTCACGGCAAAGGCTGTGAATACTTATGTACATGTGATTTATTCGTTTTTTATTTGTAATACATTTGCAAACATCTCCAAAAAATTGCTTTCACGTTGTCATTATGGGGTTTTATGTGTAGAATTTTAAGGGGATTTTTTTTAATTGAATCCATTTTTCACATTACAAAATTGATGCGCTGTGAATACTTTCCAGATGCCCTGTATATAACATGGTTTTGTAAACAACGGATTTTCTGCAAGTCATCACAGCAACACAATCAATGATCAAGTTTATGTAGGAAACAATGGCAACGCAAAGGCGTCACTGCGGCGTGTGGGTTGAGCAAAACTAACCTTGAGATAAAACTTGGAGATATCAAACAGTCTTTTGCTGCAGGCCTCAAAGCACTTATGTTCAGAACTGATCCCATGGAGTTTGAGCGTTTTCGCCACCACTTCCTGCAGCATCTGAGAACACACAAAAACACAAATACATTTGTCAAAGCACGATTGCAAAATCAAACATTGGGCTCAGTTTATTCCCCGTCCCCTCAACGCGATTTTAGTTCAGACAAACTAATTTTAGAGAGTGGCAAAATTTCCCGACTTCTGGGAATGCCCCTGCTCTGCTCAGGTTTTGGGCCGACTTCAATATATGATTTCACAGGAAGTGTCGGCAGAGAAAACACAAAATACAAATACGCGCTTTTTAATAGTATATAACAGTGTTCCCCAACCTTTTTGAGCCGTGGCACACCTTTTCCATTTAAAACTATCTCATAGAACACTACCAGCTGAAATTGAAACAAACTGATGTTACTCTGCAATCTTCATTAGCAAATCAAAGTATATTATATAGAAAATCAGAAATCATTTTGCCCAAATGGATGATATTGGATAATTTCCCAAGACACACTCAATAACAACTCAAGGCACACTAACGTTCCCGGAACACTGGTTGAAAAACACTGGTCTATAACAACTAAAATATCATATAATGTCACAGAAACTGTTCTGAGGTGTGCTGTAAATGATTGGAGCAGGTCCATGAGGAGTGGAGTGGCAGCTTTTAATCTCAGCTATAGAAAAACACCAATTATTATTTGTGTGGTTAAGGTCAACTGTTTTTTTTTCATTTCTTTGAATGATAAGGTCGTTCACTCAGAAATCACAAAACAGAACAACTCAAGGACAAAATGCAGATTGGGGATAAGGAAATCAAGGCTGGTGTTTTCATGGGCATGTAAATAATAATGTCAAACCGTTATGGCAGCATGCAGCAGGTGCTTTATGATTAATTCCATTTGTCTTTAAGAAAAAGTGGCAATTCATTTTGAGCATTCACGGTGACAACATGTAAAACATACTACCAGACATTTATCTTTAATGTATTTCTATCTACTTGAGACAGGTGTGCTTCATCAAAAGGACACAAGCACATGAAATGCCCTTGCGTTTTCAAAAAGGAAGAAGGAGTGAATTTTTTTTCATCTGCACCTCTGCTTACATTACCAGGGAAAAGGCAGGGAGCCACAAGAAAAAAGGTACTTTCCACTAGTGCTGGGCGATATGGCAAAAAAGTAAAATCTCGATTTCATTTCCTGCTTTGGACAATTTCGATTTTAAATCGATTTTCATTAAAGTCACTGATCTTTCCGCTCAATAATCAAGTTTCAAAACCATTTTTATTATTTTTCCCCTAATACGTATCCTAAAAGTCTTGTCCAGACTGTGCTGATATTGCAAGTATAATTCTTGTGTTGCTGGAACTCTCAGAATATCCTTCATTCGATTTTTTTTTTTTTTTTACAAATTCGTTTTTTTCAAAAGCCGATTAATTGCCTAAAACCACATTCTCCAGATTTAACATCCCAATGAAAAAAGACACGTGAAGAAAATCTGTACTTTGGGGTGAGCAGAGATTGGCATTTGTGATGCGTATGTGCGAGAGGCGGGACGTACACCTGTCAATCCCAACAGATTGTGTGAGACTCTGTGATTCAGGGCAAAATCAGATTAATACAATCTATTGCTTTATACTTACATATAAAAAGTAAATAAGAAACTAACAAACAGGCCAGATTCTCTGCTGTAATGTGCGCAACGATGACACTGAAATTTCTCCACTGTGAGACGAATAAAGGTTTATCTTATCTTATCTTATATGTTCTTATTTTTCAACAAAATTACAAGGAGGACTTAGCTCACTTCGCCCACTGATACCAGCCACCACTGAACCAGGCAGCCACACATTGTAATTGTCTAGATTTTGTGAATTTACTGCTACTTTTAGAATTTGGAAAATTAGAACATATCTTTAAACAAAACTTGAACCAATAATTATTTACCAATAATTAGAAAGACTAACTAAAAACTCAAGAAATCTCTCATGATTGCTGCTGAAGCTTGTGACTGGATTTCGTAACTGGCAACACATATGAGATGTGATCTGCTTTGAGTAGATAACTGACTGATGACTGTTTTGACAAGCAAAGCCAAACAGAAGCTACTTAAACTAAAATCAAGTCAAAAGTTTATGCAACGTTATCAGTATAATCAATGTTTAAAATTACCCATGTGTGGCCCATGACTCTAATTTGAACTACTTTGTTGTATTTCCTTGTATAATTGCAAACAGTAATGTAACGGTACAAATATTAAGCTGATTTTTCCAGCACTCACCCTGTTGTGTTTTTGGGAGCGTGATTCTTTCGACGTTGTGTCCTTTGTTGGTGATTGGGTCTTTTGAGGCGGAGCTTTAGGATTATTGACCGGATCCACGCTCACTGCATCTGAAGACAGTTTGCCAGAAAGATTATTTAAATACAGAAAAAGAAAAATATACTCAACTATAAATGTGTTTATTTTACTTGAAGTTGAGCCTCTGGAGGTTGAGATGGTCAGGGCTGAAGTAGTGGACTGAGATCTCCCAGTTTGTCTTCGGAGTGTTCGGACAGAAGGGTGGGTCCCACTGCTGCCGCTGCTTTGGGAACAGAGCGAGTCGCTGCTCTCAGACTTCACCAGCCTGAAGACGACCAGATTTTAAAAAAATACACACATATACACATTTATTAGGTAAAATGGCAAAGGTGTGTTCATAACAAGCGATATATCCAAAAAGTAAAAAAATAGCAAACAATGTTTTGTTTAGTATTAAACCAAAAACTGCCAGAGTTTGTAAAGAAATCCAACATAAAATCTCTTTATATAGAGGACTGCTAAAATCATTAACAGGAAAATAGAATAAAAAGCAGGTCTTTCAGGAGCTCATGTAGCAGGTAAATGTAATTTACCCTACAACCTCCACAGTAGTTTGACTCCCAAACACCTGGTTAAAAAACGATAACCAAGTATAATCTTTACAACATACATACAGTTAAATAACCCTAACCCTAGAACCTTGACCAACAGGTAAAATAATAGAGATTTAGTAGTACGAGAAATTCCCAGTCATTTGTTGTTCCAGGATTTAAAATCATGCATGACATGAACATATTGATTTACATGAGGTGGAGCTGAAGTTGCCTGAATGATGATCGCATAGAGGTTCTAAGATTTAAAATGATGAAACAAGGAAAATAGGAAAAGCTGAAGTTGACTGGATGGCATTGTATGATCTCAAAGGCTGCTTTGGGTTTTGATCCGCAGCAGACTTTTCAGTCACAAAGAAGAGGATTCTAATAGAACAAGTGAAGTCGGCCGATTCTGATCTTTAAAAATCACGCATAATATGTGTATATTGGTTGATAAAATGTTTGAAAAAGGAGTTGGCAGCTGATAGAAGGCAGTAACTTATAATTATTGACAATATGTGAAATTTTGCAGGACTTCACAATTAGCTAATTGGACCTGACATTAGGGTTGCATTTATTTTCCTAACGGTTCTATCCTGGCAGAGCCTAGTATTTTAAGAATTACATTGTTATGGACCAACTATAATTGTGCAACTTTGATTTTATAAAAATGTTGTCCATAAACAGTTCAGTTAAGTTAATATCAAGAACAATAACAGCTGGGGAGAGATTTTTGTCTGTATTGGCCACCACTAATAATGTTTCATATTATTGTCTGTAGTTGTGAGCTAACCTTTTGCGAGGATATCCTCCAGCAATCTCTGTATCCCAGGAGCAGCGCTTGAGTCGGGCCACGTCAGAATTCTGCAGCATCTCCCCGTCGTGCACACTTCCTGGTTCTGACATCACAGAAGGGGAGGGGGCGGGGCTTAGAGCAAAGGGGAGGGCACCTGGTTCTTTGGAGCAGGTGGTTTGGGTCTCGAAGCGGATGAGGCGTGACTGCAGACGCACAAAGGACTGGTCTCGGTCCAAGGAGCGCAGGTTGTCCAAACAAAACCTAAGAATGAAGAAAAGTCAGTGGGAAAACTCCGTAAATGGCCGTAACTCAGATCTACGGTCACATACTCGATGCCGTGGTAACGAGTGGCTGCGGCTTCGTTGAAGGGCATGTGTTTGACTTTGCCAGGAGACACGTCTGATGAGAGCTGGAATACTTTATTTCTGAACACAGAGAAATTAGGGCAGAGAGAGTGACACAAATCAAGAGAAAGGCTGTAGGTCAAGGTCCAGGCATGAGTATATTTCACTATAAAATGCTTGCAATTTTTCAAAGAACAAAAATAATGTATGAAAAATTTGCTAAAAAGAATTTTTACAAAACACTATATTATGTCTCTACTTATAAGACAAATCGTCATAATCAAATACTCATTACAGAGTCATTATCATTTAGAGGCAAGCTAGGAAAACTAATAAATACAGATGTTTCTGCGCAGACAGCATGAGGCCATAATTTGTCTCATGTCAGACAACAGATCTAGCTTCGAGAACCACTCAAGGAGTCCATGCTTCTGCGATTATCATAAGAAAAGTTGAAGTTATTTAATGACAAATCACAATTGCTGACCAGGACAAAACAACTGTGAAATCCATATAGTTCTTGTATCACCTTACATACACAGGTGTCAAGACTATAAGCAGTGTTGTGAATTCAAACTGTCTAAATGATAACGCAGGGTGAATGTAAGGCTCTACTTTGAGGGTTTCATTTATTCTATTTTGATTGTAAAACTTACATGAATATATTTTTTTGACTCCATCTGTGTCTGAATATTCTACTAACCTTATGTTCTCAACATACTAACGCTAACAGAGGAGCTTCTTCAATAGCCTTACACATACCCTCTGTTCAGAGTCAGTGGTTGGAGCTCTCCGCTGGGGGCCCCGTCTGCAGTGAAGTGTCTCAGAAGCTCTTTGGCGTCCAGCAGAGCCACAGCGCCCTTCTGACCACCGTCTTTAGGACCCAGCAGGCTGTCCGAAGACCCAGAACCCAACAGGCCAAACCTGAAGGAGCACACAAATGAAGAGTACAGACTAGGGATGGGACCAGGTTTCCAAGTCAATAACGTTATGAGGATTGAGGAAAAGAACTACAGTATTTCACTGTGTTTGTAAAATACAGAGATCAGTAATTTAATGTTTTTGTCATTTAATGGGTTTGCTTCAAATAATGCCAATAAGCAGTGTAGTGGCTCATAAAACAGCCACAATGAGCCAAATATGAAAGTTCTTCTGACACTGAAGACCAGGGAGACATATTCCGGTTAAGTTCATTTATTGAATCATTTTTTAATCTTTCTTTAACTCAAGAATTTTAACAGTTTAACTTTAACTTTTTAGGGTTTTAGCTTTTTGTAACACATTGTCTGATTGACCTTTTAACAAAAAACTATCTTATATTTTTAACTTTAAATTAAACACTTTTCAGGACTTTAACTGTTTTGGCTCTCACAAGCAGGATACAATCATTGGAGGTCTTTCTATCAATGTATGCCCTTCATATTATACATTTATCAGTTACATATAGTACTTTTATTTTAAAAGAACAAAGTTTAGAGTCTAAAAACTTTCATTATGTCACAAACAATTACCTCTTTTTCTGTCGTCTCTTCTGCAGGTTCTCAATGTTGTGGAGGACACTTCTTTCAGGCCAATCTGTCAGCAGCTGGGAGCTTCTTTGACAATCTGAAAATAAACCAATACACACAGTAAATAGTTTTTTAAATATTAAATAAACAATAAAGCACAGAGCAGGTCCTCTGTAAATGCTCGCAATGGAACCAGGCCGTGTGTATGTGAAATACAAATCTATGATGAATTGATGATGTACAATCAACAGCAATATTGAAACATTTTGTATTTTCATGGTTTGTTTATAGCCTAAATTTAAATCTGAAAACATTCTGCTCTATGTTTAGACTTTCATGTTGTTTGCTTGCTTTAGACAAACCGTTTTTCTGACTGAATTTCATGTGGCTTTGTCGATGTGATGGATTGCGAGAGTTATTGAAGCAGGTCACCACACTGAGAGGTTGGCAGACAGGACCTTGATAAGATGAAATCTCAGGCCAAAAATCAGCAACCCTGCATCTTTTGTGTTTTGGTAAGAAGATTAAATTCTATCGCACCAGACACACTGAACTAGATAAAGACGCCTTACTCATGACATAAGAGCTATCCAGGCACAGAAATGGCCCAAGGAGGTGAACATTATACAGTAATATGAAGGTTTGACAACCCATACGGCCGTCATTCAGAGGAGATGGAGGCAGACATTCTTGATGGATGACTAAAGATGTTTACTGCACAAGGGACATTGCCATTATCAGAAGAGATTGAATATAAACAGGAGCAAAATAAGTACCTGTTTCAGTGAGATGGCTATGAGAGAATTTTATGCAGCACTTGAGTCACTATTCATTGCTTTAAGAACAAAATACGAACAAAAACACTAATGAGTAAAAGTTATGAAGTATCCCATAAAACTGTAGCAAAAAGTAAAAGGTTTTTTTCTTTGTAATACAAGTATTTTATAACCTAAAGTTTGAAAAAGGAGCATTTGGACCGAAGGTGTTAGTGACAATTTATCTCAGAAGTCTGTATTTGATGAGGGAAAATGTTTTGTAACATAACTAAAATGACACATAGTATTCTAAGACACTTAGAAATACTATCCTGGTTTTAATAATAAATAAAGCAAAGGAATAAAATAAAGCCTTAGTTATATTAAGTATATCGGCATTGACAACATAATGGTCTGTGAGACGGGTTATGTGAATAAACTGTAGTTATTTACTTACTATTACAGTTTGATGTTGCACTTATTTTAATCTCCCAGTATAATAATTTAGCTAAATAAATCAGTTAAGTTGAAATAAATTGACATCATTTTAACACCATTGCTGAAACTGGTCTCTGGCAGCTGTGGCTTGAATGTGAAGTTGAAGTGGTTTGTGGTTATATCAAGCGTGATCTTGTACCTGATCTTTGAGCAGCATTCGCTCTTCCTGGGTCACATGTGGAGGAGGAGGAAGAGGAAGAGGAGGAAGAGGAGGCTGAGGGCCGACAGGACAACACCTTCAGACACTGCTCTCGGGCCGCATTCAGAAGAGCCTTCACCTCACCGACCGGGACCACCGCCTCTGAGCTGCCATGTCTCTTTTCTTCACACAGAAGTGAAGAGAGAAACCATCAGATCAGAAAGGAATCAAAAGTGAACTTAGCAAGAGTAAAATGGTATCAAGTAGTTCATGGTGAATACATCATAAATAAATCATGTAAATCAGTATCAGTCCGCTGCTGTATAAAAGCACATGTAATCTGTCAAATAACCAAATACACAACACACACATTTATTACACATATTTATCATCTATAATTCTAATATATAAATACACTGAGTGCAGATTATGATATTTCAAAGTGACAGAATTATAAAGTGAACAAGACATTTACAGCAGGCTTCTGTAGCAACCCACTATGCAAAGCCCTCAGTTTATGGAATAAGGAAACTTACCTCAAACTGCAAAATAAGCAGCATTAAAACTTTTAAACATGTGTATCTTTTCAAATTTCAGGTGCATAATCATTATTTCATAGTCAGTCGTCCACTTCAGATCCAAGGTGTTGTTTAAATAAATAATACTTACTCAAATATTCTTTAAGAACAAGAGTTTGAACTTGGGCCACCTTCCTTTCTCTCTTGAGCACGTCGTCTCCTTGGAGACGAGGCAGGAGGCGAACTATTTCACTAACAGCTCCTAGAGATGGAAGCAAAACTTAGAAATGTTCCTAAAGTTTTTTCTTCAAATAGAGAAAGGCATAGTTGAATTCAAATAACACACTTAAACCATATAGTTTGTAAGGAGATGCAGATGAATGTTGCATATTAATACATAATGAATGAGTAATGAAGGTGTACTTTCTGGTAGTACACTGGTTACAGACAAGCAACTGACCAGTTACAGCTCTCAAAAACTATATGTTTATACATATGTTCAAAATATAAAACAAACCAACAAAGAAATCAGTATTTTTTCAAGAAAACAATGTGTGGTTCCCAGTTGGTCCCTGTTAAAAGAATACGTCATAATTTCAGGAGCCTCTGTATGTGGCTGTCACACAGGTTTAATAATAATAAGTATTATACCTGCTGCAGGTGAAGACGGTTCTCGCAGCAGAGCTGTCATTGTCGCCATGGCAGCAGATCCATTGAGCTGTTGGTCAGAGTTCAACATTTGGACGTCACAGACGCCACTGGAGTCCGAGCCCTGAACCAACAGGACGTACTGAGCACACTCGCCTTTCACCTCTGGCTCAGGGGCTGCGCACACAAAATAAATTCTTTCTATTCATCATCAAAATAATAAATCATCTGTCTGCCGAATTAATTGAACTGTCAAATCATAAATCCTTTTTTATGTTTCTTTATATTAAATCAATTTGCCAGTGGTAATTTTGTGCACTACTGTCATAAAAATGTGTTAGGTCCACTGACAAGTCACTAGTCGCTTTATCTGCTATTTATTTTATCTATATTTATAAAGTTGTAGCCATCACTGTAAATATTAGTACTAAACCCCCATATCCAACACTAAAAAGCAGCTATGAAAAGGTCTTTTAATTAAAGTGAAATTACTACTTAATTTAAGATCTTTTTTGGGTGTTAATTGTTATTCAAGCAAAGATATTTATGGTAAGCGAATTCATATAGTTTGAGGGATCCTTGTTTTCCGGCTGTTGAAGGTTCTCTCATCTTAAATCATCTAGTGATCCTACAACCCCCACTTTGGAATCTCTGTTACAATTATACATCCACATACATGTAACTGAGATTTCTTATAATCAATTAGCCTTGATTAAGCCTAGATAAACTCAACTCACGTTTAAGTGAGAAAGCAAATATTCCATAAAAAGAGAAAACCGCCATTTCCAGCGAGAATAGTAATTTACCTCATTATCAATGTCTGTATAAGTGATTCACGCAATGTTTCACACCATTGAAAAAAGTGTTATTACTTCCAAAAAAAAAGCCATTTCAGAATTATACTAAACATTTGAACCACAGTGTAAGTAGTTGTTCAGTTACTAAAAAGTTAAAGACAAAAAAAAAAAAAAAAAAAAAAAAAAAAAAATCTAATAAGCAGACACCAATAATTATCATGTGGTCCAGTTTGGATAAAAAATAAGAATAAATCCAAAATGCCCCCATTAGTGACACAGTTTCACATCTATTTTCCTATAGATTAGGTATTGTTTTATGGAACAACAGAAACGGTGATACGAGAAGATTACAAAGCTGTGTGCTACAAACCCCTTCATGCAGTATGTATCAAGTGTAGTGTAAAAGACATGACTTGAAGATTTAAAGTCCACTTACTCTTCAAACAACTTTCAAGCTGCTATTTTTTCAAGACTACAGGTACATGACTGATCATATTATTGCCTAATGAAGCTTCCAATACAATCCTAACACACCGAATAGTATGCAGCATCACCAGCCGCAATCCCTAGAAGGGGTTTTCAGCTGTGCATTTTATTATATTTCCTCTGATGTTTTAAAAATGATTAGTCCCACTTCAGAGAATGCTATTGAAGCAAATGTCTTCATTAACTGCACTATATTGATGTTGTAGTAAGTCATCTATATCACAGAGAAAAAGGGTATGAGTGAATTCCATTGTAGCCGAACAATGTAATGATAATGTGAATAATAGTAATAATTGACTGATTTTCGTCCTTGTAAAAGATTCAATAGTATTTATTCACCACTTTTCTATGAAGTGTCCAAAGAATAAACGATAAGTACTAAAACAAAATGCTGTTTGTCCAAATAAGATACATTTTCATCCACAATCCACAATCTCATCCATCCGCCAGACAACTACAATTTAGACGATGTGTGAAAAGTATTTTGTATTGAAGTAAGTAAGTAAGTAAGTAAGCTTTATTTATATACCGCCTTTCACAGACCAGAGTCACAAAGCGGTTTACAATTGTTATTTTTGGGCACTTGTCCTCTCACTCCACACAGAGATGGGAGCGGGGTCGCCAAACAGGAGGCGCATGCCAGACCTATTGTACATATTTTTAGTGGTAGGGGAAACCGGAGTACCCGGAGGAAACCTACGCAGACACAGGGAGAACATGCAAACTCCACTCAGAAAGGCCCTTGTCCGGCCGGGATTCGAACCAAGGACCTTCTTGCTGAGTGGCGAGAGTGCTATCCACTCAGCCACCGTGCCGCCCAGTTTCTCAGATTTTTTCTTTTGACATGTAAATGAGCACAAGGCTAATAAATATATTCAAACGCCACCACAGAAGCATTATTATTTTCTTTAACTACAGAAGAAATATGATGCATTTTGTTTTAAAAGGCAGCAAACTAGTTAGCGCGATAATTTGTGTTAGCTCTCAGTCGTACATGGATTATTCAAAACAAAGGAAGGTTGCTCACCCATCATCTGTATTTCAGTTAACAGGTTTTCCCGACGTTTGAGAAAGTCATTTGGATTAAGAACGAAACGTCGGGAAAACCGGCTAACTGAAGTAGAGATGATGGGTGAGCAATCTTCCTTTGTAATGAGCGCGATGTGACCACTATGACAGCCTGTAATTGTAGGAGTCAGAAGAGGCGGAGTTCCAGCTCAACATGCTGCTGGAAGGTAATTGTGTATAACAAGTTATGTAGTTTCTTTGAGTATTATTGTAGTTTTTAACAGTACGAGCACACACATTTTTGGGCATATATCACATACAATTTCAAAGACACAACTACTTTTAATGTATTTTTCCAGTGTGTTAAAAGTCATTGTGATTGTAGTAAAGGAACAACACATAAACCTATTCAGGTGTAGTTGTCTGAACATAATGAATGTGAAACCCATTTCTGCCCACAAAGGCTGTTTTACTGGTCTAGAGACTTGGGGAAAAAATACTATTGCAATCTGTTCATCTCAAAAAGCCATTTTCCCTAGACTAAACATGGAAAAACCATGATAGGGGTGGGCAATATTTAGACATAAATTGAATTACTGTAAAACTGCTCAAATTATTTAACATGTTAAAATCCAGGATATTGTTAGAAATATATAGACCCCATTATCTACTTAATCTGAACACCTCTAAACCATGTCGTACCAGAAAATGACTTTGCTCCTGTTGCCAAGAACTCTCGCCAGCGTTGCGAGCAGAGCTGGTTGGCAGGAGGCTGGACGACTGCAGTAACTGCACAAGAGAGGCTGAACAACGCCCCAACCTGTACAAGTTAAAAAACACATTGTTATTATCATTCTTTTACAGTTACAAGACAACAATGACAAAGTGAGTCTTTTGAAGTATTATTGTGCATTCCATAAGAGCAAACATACCAATGACGGCTAATGCTTAATTTGTACACTTAGTGTCAATATTAATCCAATAATCTAGATTATTTATAATTGAATGCATGTGCTCCGGTTTTCCTTAACAATAAAAACATGTACAGTAGGAAATATCGTGCAGGTTGCGTTCTGACCAAGGCAAGCAGCAACGAATGGAAATGCCACTCGGGCGCTGTACGGCCGCTGCTCCCGGTAGGCCCTAGAGGCACTGCAGGATGGGTCAAATTTCTCTGTGAGGACAGTAAGGTAAAAATGTACCTGTGAATATTTCTTATTTTGACTCACAAGCCACAAACATAAAAACATCTTTTATGCCTTTTTCAATGGATTGACCACTTACCTAAAAATAAAAAATTAAATTTAAATTGAAAATAATTTTACTGATGACCAAGGGTACTTTCACTTTAACTGGGTCAATTCTGGTTCACTCAGGGAGAATAGGCTTTGTTTGTGGATGTAAAAAAAATCAAACAAACAAGTGAACCGGTTTTCATTCGTAGGATTACATTACATCTTGTGAAACAGATTTGAGAACCAAGTGTACCAGACGTTCAGTTTAAGCGAACCAAGTGAGAACGTGACCTCAGTCAAGTGGACTCGGTTCACTCCAGAAACTGAACCTTTCACTGAACCCATTCAAAGCAAGTGTGCAGCGGTGACTTGTGGATTAGATGTTTAGTGCTTTCAAATCTCCATAAACAGCTTTTTACGTGAACACACCCATATTTGGCTTTGTTGTAAATATGCATTAAATGATGAAGACAAAAAAATATGTCTACCTTTCCCCGAAGCGATCTCAACTGTTCTAAAAACAATTTTGCTTTTCCGGAGTTTCCAGACAAGCCTCTGTGTGGTGAAAGTAAAGGAACAAAATGGTAAGACGAGGTAATATGAGTTTGAGTTGAAAAGACATTGATACATTGAAATAATATCCATGGAGGGAAAATGTGATTGCTAATGCATTTTAGCCACACAAAAAGGATACAGCTCAAAAGTGGTTGAGGATCTTATATAGTTGGGCAGATCGGAAACATAAATCAACTGCACCAACTCAAGAACTGGGGCGTAGTAATGGAAAACCTGCGGACACAGGAAGAAAAGGCATATTTATAATCCAAAACACTGAAATTGATGGGAACAAGTTATCAAAACAATAGCCAATATATGGATAAAGGGCCATTTATTTGCCATGTCACTATATATCATTATCGGCAAATAGTCACAACCGGCACATTGGTTATGGATATTAAGTTGCAAAAGATTGTTTTTGGCCAGAACAGCAGCAGCGCAACATCAGACGGTATCAACGGAGAAAAGAAAGTAAGATAAAATAAAAATGAATTGATCTCACATGGAGAAATGTACATGTTACATTTGGCTTCAATAAGATCACTCAGAGTGTGCAAACATGTTCAAAAGTAAAAATATATAGTGTGTCTCACAGTATGTTCAATAAATGTATCACTGAACATTCAACATAAACAATGCACAAAAATGTACTCTGAACAATCTACTTTAGATTACGTACAGACAAGTTGTGGAAAGAAAACAATGGAATACGTGTAGAAGATAAAAAGGAAAAAAGAGCCAACAGAAAATGATCAATCCTGTGACATTTTGTGCAGCATTGTCAATCAATGGGTCCTGAGTTAAAGCTGGAGAACCCGTCACTTTTTGTTGTTTCATAAATACATTTCGTTTGTCTCCAAAGAACTCTTCTTCAAGTATTGTTTTGTGAACAAATCAGACCACAACATGCTGTCTTTATCTTAGTATAAATATCCAAATATATGTTAGGACTTTATTTCAAACAAAATCCACAAATGGAATGGGCCCATCTATAGATCGACGGGCACTGCACTAGTTCTAAAAATACCACATCATTTAAAATGACTGGAACTCGTTGGCCTACATATTCATTCGGGACAGACACAAAAGACTAACATGTACCATTATTTGCATACAATCCAACCTTATGATTTATTGATTTGAAGAGAGCAAGTAACACAAACACATTGCGGCCTATAAAATGAGAGGTTGTGGAAATTTTAATGATCCACAGTGCTTCTATTAAAGTTGCAGCAAAGTTTGTGAGGAAAGCCAAAGAAACCATTCGTCAGATTAATGGATCCACTCTCAATCCTAGGAATTTTACTGTGTATGGTGGCGCACTAATGAGAAGAAACAAAGTTAGTAGGAATTTTAAGACTCACAGTTGATGGAGAGGGGGCGAACAAAATCTGTAACCAAAAGTTGTACCCAAACAGCAGGAGTTTGAGCATCTGTATTGTGTGGGGCTAATATTCATTGCCTACTGTGTGCAAATGGCTTTAGGAGCTTTGAAGGCAATATCAAATGTATGCTATAATATCTGTGCTGCTTGCTTTTGTTTATAACTATGACCCCATGCCACGGTTCTCAACTATAGGAAAATAATATGCATGATTAGTTATATTTATAATTTATACATCATTTTTATACACTATATATATATATATAAATAATTGCACATGTAATTGCACAAAACTTTAAGACACTAAAACAGCATTAACATGAATAGACCCCCAAGTTACATATTTGCACAACCATGAGAGGATCACAAATGTTCTGCTTTGATGTGGGAGTTTCCGCTGCTGTGAAAATTGGCTGCCTTACCTGAATAACAGCAGCAAGTACAATGTCTACATGATAACAATTTGCACTCACATTTCACACTAACACCACATTAAGTGTGCTCTGTGCATCTCCTGTGGAGCCCGAGGAGTTAATGATTATCTGACTGAAAAACACAGAAAATTGTTATCTGTTCTGCTGTGTCCAGATGCCATTAGTCTGTAAACGCCAGTGTGTATGTGCACAAATGTACATGCATTATAAACACCATATGAGACCTGCAGCCTGTGATTTTTATTGTATTTGCAATTAATCTACATCGAAAAACTCATTACTGAACAAAATTGCTCACAAATACAACAAAAGACTTTTGCTCTCACAATCTGGCAGTTTGCCCAACCCACAATGTGTGATACTTTAAAAAGGTGCTCTATGTAACTTTCTTCTTTGTATGTATGTACGCATTTTTGTTATATCCACCACAATATACAAAAATCCATGTAATTAGTTCCTTGCGCTCAAAACTGTCTCGTTCTGTCTAGTTTCCAAATATTTAGAGGAGCTTTTTCAGACAGAAAAGTAAATAAGAAAACCATCCTCATTCAGCCAATGAGCTCTCAGCCTAAAGAGTCAAGAAGTGACTCACAGGGCTCATTCTGTAGTATGTAAAATAACTATGTTTTCTAGTACGATATAGACAGAACACTTCTTCTGTTGGGACAAACATGCATTATTTATCAAAAAATAAAGTTAGGTACCTCAGCTTTAACATACAAATATGATAGTTTGACAAGTCAAACACTACAACAGTAGTAATCAGTAGTGCCAGCTGTAGATGACTCACAGCAGAAAGCTTTTATGGAATAATTATGGCAAAAGCAGCCCAAAGGAAACGAAACAACTTTTTAAGAGGATGTAAAATCTATAGTCTCATCGTTTATCAAAGACGGGGGCAGAAAGGTACAAGGGGTCACTTTAGATGTTTGATTTTTTCACAATATATTGCCAACTTATTTGAATTGGATCCAGCTGACTAAGCAATGAGCGAAAAAGTGAAATGTGTGCCAGGAATGAAATGACTTTAGCATAATCAAAGAGGGGACTCACCTCCGGGATTAGGGTGCGATCAGTGGGTGTGAACAGTCTTGATTTGGAATGAACTGGTGACCGCAACGCAAATCCATCAAAACGTAACTCCGAAACATTCTGAAATACAATAAATATGGGTTTGGAATTTAGTTATTTAGCTATTAAAAAGTTCAGATCTGGATTAAAGAATTCTAACTCGTAGAAAAGCCTGGATTGGTTTTAATACATATTAAAAAGTTCTATAGATAGAGGACCGGCTAAATCCTGTGACCTTCTCTAACATGACGTGATAACGGTTCTTTAGTTCCCTTTTGTTCTATGCTTTCCTTCAGTGAGCCGAGTGCCTGAGCCCACTCATTTCTGAAGCGACTTAGAAAGGTCAGTGGAGTGAAGGAGATGTTCTTGCTTGCTTCAGCAGCCTCCAAGTGGATATAATTCATTAAGGAATTTGAATTAGAGCACAGACCCCAAGAGGAACAGTTCTATTACATTAAACAAATCCAGGCTCAAGACGGTGATCCTGGATACTCAACAGTTTTAACTAACACATCTGGTTATTACATTACCCACTGGCAAAGGTCATTCTAAAATATGAATATTGTCAATGGCAACATTTAGTAGTACAACATCAGTGGAATATAGTTGTGTTATAAGTATAATGTAAACAAGCCGATAAGTTGTGCCTATTTTGCGGTGTTCCCTGGTTCTGGAAATGAAATCACCTTTTCATTTTCACTCAGTTTTCACAAGTATTTAAAGCTTGAAAGCATGGCAGAGGCTAACTAGCTATGTGGCAATTAATATCCACAGTAAGGTTCTTTAACGTCCTAACAAACATATTTTAAATGTACAATTGATGAAAAAGCTTCAGAAGCTGATTTCAGATGTAGATAATTAAATGACCTTAATGACCTCATTATTCACCACAAGCTTTAAACTTCTGGGCTGGAAATTACAGCAATCTTTGTAAGTAATTTTCTACAATTTGCGACTCAAGACGTCTGAATTCAATAGAAAATATGGAAATCTAAAAGTGATAAAATCAGATCATTTAGCCAACATCCCTAACCCGACGTGGAGTTGACCAGTGGTGTCAAACTCATTTTGGTCTGGGGCCGATTATAAAAAAATGGTAGGAAGAAGTATGTATACCTGTGTACCGATGTCTCCATGATTATCTTTATGAAACAGTGGTTATTTATTTATGATTTTTCAACACACATTGTGGACTGATATTTTTTTTTTTTAGAATAGAATAAATTATATTGTTGTTTACTTGAACAAATTAGCTTTAAAATTATGTATAATAAACACAAAGTCACAAGTTACAATAAAGACTATTAAGATTAAGAGATCCTTTATTTGTCCCACAGTGGGGAAATTTCAGTGTTGGATCAAAGGAAATAAATATTTATTTGGAGTAACACTAAAAGTATTCTCGCAGGCTTCATCCTCATCTTCATGTTTGACTCCTCTGGACGAGAGCCAGGGTTTGTAGTGGAGGCAGACGATGGAGTCGGGACAGTTCCCATGACCTCTCAATGGCTCCAGTGAATTCACCATCCCCACTCAGCAGCAGAATTACTAATACCCCACTGAGGTAAGAATTACTTCATTTAAAACGGTTTTTTTTTAATCCATTGTAAAAAAAAGGTTCAAGTGCTAAAAGAAAAGACAGGTCAGAAAAACATTGTGTTCACGAGTCCTTCCCAAGAGAAAACAGTTTTTGTCAGAATAATTTAGTTCAAGATAAATGTTAACATTAAAAGGACATAATGCCTGTATAGATTCATTGTCTCCTACACAAATAACTAACTCCAGAGAGCAGTTTAATAACACAAACTTGAATGATCCTAAATACAATGAAGTTAATTTAATGTTATGTGTTTTGACCGTATTTGGTGCATCCAGGACACTCACACATGTTTTCTTATCTTTTGTTCTTACAGATTTTTATTGATTTCTGTTGTTAATATTAGTAGTCCTCCATCTCTTATACAGTTTCTCTTACAAATGTCCGAAAAAGTGGCCAATTCTATAATGAAAAAACAGGAAATATGACCTTTTCCTTTGTTTTTCATCCATTTCTACCAAAAGGGCTCATTCTTCCAAAACACATTATGCTCCTTGTAACAATTAAATTCTCAAATATCCTCTCATGTAGTAATATATTAGTACTATATTTTCTGAGGGAGTTTAGCAATAACAGCAGCACTGACAAAACTAATTTTGTTAACATACCTTTTTCTCTCGAACAATCATCCCCCCTCTCCACATTTCTCTGTGGTCCACACATCTGTCCAAAGCAGCCGACTCCACCAGACCAGCATTCAGATACAAGGCCACCTTCTGCCATCTGTAATATTAAATGGTTTTGAGGCTATTTCATCGTACTTTTTAAGAGCAATAAAAACAGGCCAGATTAAAAAATGTCAGTAGAGGCGAAACAAATAAAGATGACAATTAGTGCAAATTCTCCGTTTTGATAACATCAGTCATATTCAAATCTATCCTAAGACTTCCCTCTAGTGGTTTAAAGGAAGCATGCATTGTACGAATAATGACATATCAATTTATTTTTAAGATCATAAATAACACAAGAGGTTTGTGAATGGCATAGAGTGTGGTACAAATACTCACATGCTGAAATACTGGGTCACAACAGTGACCTGTGCACTGTGCCAGCAGCCCATGTGTTTGAGAGCTCCCAGCAGCGGCAACAGCTCTTTAAGAGCCGGAGGAGCAGCAGAGCCGAGCACAAGTACATCCAGCAGAGCTTTGCCTTTACAAAAATCAAGTTTTCGTTTAGTATTTCTTACAATGTAATATATTAACAGTACGGGGTGGGCACTATTGACAAAATTAATACAAACAATATAATATATCTTGATCATATTATTCACCAAATGTTTTTTTTATAGTGCGTACAGGTTTACAAAATGTCTACAAGAATTCGAAATGCAGATGCATGTTGTGCAAAGCATATTTTAACATTTTACATTACTATGACCATTGTTCCATCAAGATCCTATTTATTGCCCAACTCGATTTTCCAAATGTTGTGGCGTGACAGTCTACCTGGAGGTGGTAGCTTGTCGGATAAGGAATGTAATCCTTCAGCAGCTTCATCCAAAAGTCTGTTCAAAAACAAGTATCAAGCACATCATTATTATTCTTTAACAGTTTGTTACAATTCTACTTGAAGTGTTTACATTTATAAAATTAGGATCTTGAAAAGGTCTCAGACTCACTCTGACAGTGTGGCCTCACCCACATTCTCCTCCAGTGCCTCCTGATCACTCAAACAGCTGAGGCACAGATCCATCGTAGTGGGTATTTCCTCTTCACTATCAGTCAGTCGATCATCTGCACCAAGCTTTGCCCAATCAGAGCTGCAGAACTAGAAATGCATGTATATATTAAAAACAGCCCAAAATGATAAGTTTCTTGAAGGACTTCACCAAACTAACCTGAGTAATTCCTTGACATGCCTGTACAGCAAAGTACCATTTGGGAGTTGAAGGGTTTCCACTAATAGAACAAGCTAAAAACAGACACAAAACACATACAAGTGCTTATGATAGATTTTTCTAGTTTCTTTTAAAAGTTAGACCTATTTTGATAGAATGACACCTGTTTAAAATATATATAATACTTTTAAACAAATAAACAGATCAAGTTTAGCAGAATTTACAAATAATTTCAATGAATGTTCTTCAATTAACTACGGTATATAAACACTTGTTCCCATAAAGTATATTGTCAAACACAAAAATCAAGTCTTGGTAGTTTATTGCATGGTTAGAAGTCTTCTCTCACTGCTTGGAATTAAAATGATCGAATAGAAAAAAGTATGGCACCGTTTTTTGCCAAAAGTATAAAGTCCGTAACCATATGCAAGAAAACTTATGCATTAAATAACATTAACTAACCTGTAAATGATGATCCCTCTTGTGATCCATGAGTCGAAAGATTTACACAGTTGTTATAAAGTTGTTGTAGTGTTGCTAGACCTGTCAATAAAAAACAACATCAATGCAGTGTGCGTCGCCTTTGAAATAAGCAACATGGCTATTTATTGAATGAAAGATGTCTCACTAAGAGTCTTGTTATTGTTGTATGTGCAATATAGACTAGCATGAATGCTAGCCTGGGTTAGCGCTGGGGAATCTATCAATAACAATATTCACAACAAACTTACTGTGCTGTAGGTTTTCGTCGTTTTGGCAGAGAGATACGATCAACACGTAGCGGTCCATTTTGTGTTTTCATAAACACCATAAACACTTTTCTCTGGACAGGAGTTAAAGTTCACCAACATTAGTTCAAAAGACCAGAGTTTTCGCGCACTGTCAAGTAGATCCAAAATACTCCCTTCCGTCTTCCTTTTCCTCCATTCACATTATAATTAGTATCAGACAATTTTATTTTTGTAATTGATTTGTATCTAAATAACCTTTCAAATTTCTTCAATTCAACGTGATCAATCCTGCAGCTATCCCAATGTTTAAGAATAAGGGTAGCAAAAAAAGGCAGCGTTTGTTTTAGTTTGGAATGCAACCCTTCACTTCTTCACTTTGGAGCTCAGGACAACACTGCTTCATAGCGCCCCTGGTGTTCAGGGTGGTGAAGTTCGTCTAGCTCAAGCTCCTAACGCTTGGTTACCAAACTTTAGACCTCAAACTATAACTACCCGTATGAAATACACGTGTACTCACACGTGTACACAACCAGAGCCGGTTATGGACATGTCGTCCACCAAATGACTCACAAATACAAAATAAAGGCGAAAATCTTTGATTGATTAAATTACTACAAAAAGGATATATGACAATGTTTTTTCTCAATGAGTTCAAGTTGTTTGAAGTAACTATTGTTCGATATGTATTTGACAAAATGTTTCCAGAAGAGGGCAGTAGAGGAGCGTGGCCAGAAGAGATGAGACGATGTAATACACACACTGTAGAAGGGGAAAACACTGTGGTCCAGACCATGGATCTATAAGGTCCAAACCCTCTCCCTGAGACACTATAAAGTCAGGAAGATACACTGATTTGTTTATCAACAGGGTACAAAAGTAGTTCCATTAGTGTGAGAAACAAACTGGTTGTATTGTTAACTTATGACCACTCTGAATGTTGGCTGCTAACAGAAGAATAAGACAAGGTGAAAAGAAAATTAATCAAACATGGGCCAAATAAAATATGTGTGTTATGCGCAACATAATGAATGAGTGATGCAAGACTTATTTTTTTTTCAAAATAAATATCTCTATGTTATATATCTATCAACAGAAGGTTCTCAGCCCCAACACAGATAAGTATTGTAGATGACATAGATGTTTTTTGTATTCAACATTGGCTTTACTGCAGTGTGAAGTCTGTGACTGAGCTTAACCAGACCGCACAGCCTCATCTCTGTGAATCAAATAGAGTTAGCCATTAACTTCATCTGCAGCAGCCCTGGCCTTTTCCATGCGAAGCACGTTATATAAGTGCAGTACTTGTCCTCACTTTGGACACTGGTTTATGTCAGAAACCACCTAAACAATAATATTAATGATATTAGGGTACAGACATGAGTGATTTGTCCGACATTATTGTGTGGCATTTTATGTGGCATTTATAAAACTAATAAATAATGGTTGTTTTCTGAAATGTTTATTTGTGTGTTTATTAGTACATACAGATACATTAAATCAGACAATCTCTGAGATAAGATAAGATAAGATATGCTTTATTTATCTCACAAGGAGAATTTTACATGTCACGTTTGGCATGGATAGAACACTCAGATTGTGCAAAAGGAGGAAATGTGCAAACATGTTACATGCAGGATATATATGTACAATAAAATAAGCACTTCTAAGTCCATTATACATAACCCTTTCATTACACCCAAAGAACAAACCATAGGAATATCCTTTGGAGAATAAAAGAACCATACTTATATAGTATTGACCAAGTCGAGCATCAGTCAGCACTGAAGGATTCCTCTACAAGGACAATACAGAGTACCCCTAGCCATAAGGAAGGAATCCATTATAGCAGAAATATCACAAATTAAACACAATCAATAATTTCTAACTTTCTCCTTGTTGTGGGTAACATCTGAGTCCAAGCCTGTTATGTTGCCTTTCCCTTGTAAAGCTGATGACAGATTTACAGTCCACTTGTGTTTATTGACAGCAAGGCAGGTTCCTGACGTCAGCGGCCTTCAGACCCTGAGAATCTGACCTGTGTTCGGGCTATAAACAAACCCGAGGTCAGACAGAGGTGGACTGGATTGGCACTGACCATTGGGGGTATTGTAGTCAACACATGAGAGAGCTTGACCTCACCATTTACAAACAATAACAAGTGAATTCATAAAGAAATCAACATTGCTCAAAAATAATTATAATCATCATAATGATATAGCTCAATAAAGTCGATTTTACTTATCATATGCATTCATTCAATGCATTACAGTATGTTCATAAAGGAGATGTGTGTGTATGAACTGAATCTTTCATATGATGCCAATTAAAGCTGGGGCACCTAACTTCTTTGTTGCATAAATAATTAATAAGAACACGTTTTGTAAAAGTACCATTTTGTTAATAAATCAGACCACAACCTACTCTCTTCATCCTATTATAAAACATTTTATCTACTTGTAATAGTCTGCTTAAATCATAGTTCTGTCCCGCTTTAGTCCTTGTTTAGTCCCCTACTTAATCCTGCATCTGTTCTGCAGAAGACCTCTATTTTGAATCCATATGAAATGTCACCTGACCATAAAAGGACATTTTGCAACATTGTATGTGAAAGAAAGTTTATATTTGGGGTATTTGACCAGTAGTGGCCCAGTGGCTGTATGAGTGGTCAGAATGGGACCTCATACTTTCCATCAGAAAAGGTGCCAGCTGGTCTCTAGGATGCAATAGGATCAATTGTTTGGAAGGTTTTCTCTGCTGTCAGACCCTCGCACTAGAAAACAACAAAACAATTGATCCTGGACCATTGAATACACAACCATGATCAAAAGTTAGAGCAACAGTATCAAACACCACAAATTATATTTCACATAAAAAGTTGCCTTTGTCTAATAAAAATTGCAAAAAATGGCAATAAGAAGAGTTCCCATGTCTCCCTGAGGTCCTGGGTTTGTCACCCGTCTCCTGGTCCAAATGGGACAGGCCTTGTGACTGCTCCTCACTCAGAGTCCAGGCCTGGTGGTTAAATATAGAGCTAATATGTGACGTTTAGGCCACGACCTTTCCGCTTCATGTGCTGATGTAATATGATGTTAGTATTGGACGTTAACACTTTAGACTTTTACACATATGACACAGTCCAAGAAACATATTGTGCTTTGGTCTGCTTTACACAGTCATCATTTAAGGTTGTCTAATGTACATATGAAAGAGGGTTCAATACTAACAATGTTCAAATCCAGGTTAAAGATTAATATCTGTGGCTGACCTTTTTTTTTTGAGGTATTTGTAGCTCAGTTGGTAGAGCATTGGCCTTATGGCCAGAAGGTCGTGGGTTCAATTCCCACCTCTGCACCTTCTCCACCGACTCCCACTGATGACTGCTGTCGTTGTGTCCTTGGGCAAGACACTTAACCCCACTTTGCCCAAAGCCCCCACTGAAAGATCAAGGCTATGCTCACAGTTAGAGAGCAGCCGTCCTCCTGTGGACTCACCACCTGCAGAGGGTCAGTGAGGGGCTGGTGCTATGAGACTTCGGTGGCATCTCTGACTGCCACCCCCCTGACCCAGAAATGGATTAAAGGGTAGAAAATGGATGGTATTTGTATTCTATACCACTGCCTTTTTATGTTGTTTATTTTTCCCTTAAAATTATATTAAAAGAACCAGTGCCGTCCTGATTGACTTTTTGGTTGCTAGGCTGTTGCTACCTATGTCATTTGGCATGGAGCTTGTTGGAGCTAGCGTTTATTGTCTTTTTCCGCATACGGCAATCACTCTGGGAGACATCAGCGTTCGGTTACTCCACTCCTTCTCCAGTCTATGTAGAGTATGTATCTCACAGACCTGCGACATCACACTCTCAGGTGTCAGGCTGAGATCAGTACCAGCTGAGTTGAGAAGGCACCATCTGAGGATCCGTCTGCACCAGAGGAGAGGCTCCAAACCGCATGAGCCAAACCAAGACAGCCACAGCCAGAGATTCCAAATGATTATGAGATACATACAGTGCCTTGCGAAAGTATTCGGCCCCCTTGAACCTTTCAACATTTCGCCATATTTCAGGCTTCAAACATAAATATATATAATTTTAATTTTTTGTCATGAATCAACAACAAGTGGGACACAATCGTGAAGTGGAATGAAATTTGTTGGACAATTTAAATTTTTTTAGCAAATAAAAAACTGAAAAGTGGGGCGTGCAATATTATTTGGCCCCTTTACTTTCAATGCAGCAAACTCATTCCAGAAGTTCAGTGAGGATCTTTGAAACCTGCACCTGCTTGCACCTGCTCTTTGATAGTCTCAGGGTTCTGTTTAAAGCGCAGAGAGAACCATGAAGACAAAGGAACACACCAGGCAGGTCCGAGATACTGTTGTGGAGAAGTTTAAAGCCGGATTTGGATACAAAAAGATTTCCCAAGCTTTAAACATCTCAAGGAGGAGACATCTAAAACAAGGAGAAGACTGATCAGAGATGCAGCCAAGAGGCCCATGATCACTCTGGATGAACTGCAGATAACTACAGCTGAGGTGGGGATGGTGTGTTCAGGGTGATGAGCTGTGTTCTTTTACGCCAAACATATCGTTTTGCATTGTGGCCAAAAAGTTTGATTTTGGTTTCATCTGACCAGAGCACCTTCTTCCACATGTTTGGTGTGTCTCCCAGGTGGCTTGTGGCAAACTTTAAGAGACTTTTATTGGATATCTTTGAGAAATGGCCACTCTTCCATAAAGGCCAGATTTGTGCAGTGCACGACTGATTGTTGTCCTATGGACAGACTCTCCCACCTCAGCTGTAGTTATCTGCAGTTCATCCAGAGTGATCATGGGCCTCTTGGCTGCATCTCTGATCAGTCTTCTCCTTGTTTGAGATGAAAGTTTGGAGGGACGGCCGGGTCTTGGTAGATTTGCAGTGGTCTGATACTCCTTCCATTTCAATATAATTGCTTGCACGGTGCTCCTTGAGATGTTTAAAGCTTGGGAAATCTTTTTGTATCCAAATCCGGCTTTAAACTTCTCCACAACAGTATCTCGGACCTGCCTGGTGTGTTCCTTTGT